TGATGCAGTTGTCCAGTTTTCCCATCATCACTTACTGAAGAGACTATTCTTTCCCCATTGTATATTCTTGGCTCTTTTATCATAAATTAATTGGCCATACATGTGTGGGTTTATTTCTGGGCCCTCTGTTCTGTTCCATTGATCTATGTGTCTCTTTTTATGCAACTGCCATACAGGTTTGATTGCTGTAGCTTTTTGTATAGCTTAAAATCAAAGACTCTGATGCCTCCAGCTTTGTTGTTCTTTCTTAAGGTTGCTTTGGCTATTCAGGGTCTTTTGTGATTCCATGAAGACTTTAGGATTGTTTGTTCTATTTCTACCTTATCTCACCCCAGTTTATAAAGTTTTGTCTGATTTGTGATTTGGGTTTTTTGCGGGGGGGGGAGGGGGGGACTGGTCAAAAGCAGTGATTTTCAAACTTTTTGATAGGAGAACCCCTTTATACTTTTAATAATTATTGTTGTTGTGTTGTTGTGTTAGTTGCTCAGTCGTGCCTGACTCTTTGCGACCCCATGGACTGCAGCCCATCAGGCTCCTCTGTCCATGAGATTTTCCAGGCAAGGATACTGGAGTGGGTTGCCATTTCCTTCTCCAGGGGATCTTCCCAACCGAGGGATCAAACCCGGGTCACCCCTAAAAGGCCTTGTTTATGTGGGTTATATCTATATTTGGTATTTTGGTATTTACTGTATTAGAAGTTACAAACTGAGAAATTATTTAAGTATGCATTCATTCATTGAAACACAATAAACCCATTATATGTTAACAAAATATTATGAATAATACTCCCTCCCCCCGACACACACACCACGAACACACACGATAGTGGAAAGACTTGCGTAGTTTCTCTTATTGTAGATCTCTTTAATGTCTGCTGTAAGGTAAGTCTGTTGATTCTCACATAAGGTCCTGAGATCTGCAGGTAGCCTTTGGAAAACTCCCCTATACACTTGTGAGAGAGTGATAATGAAGGAGGCAAATAATGTCTTAGATTTATCCTCAGTGACTGAGGATACCCAGGTTGGAGAGCAATTGGTTTTAAGATTTGTTGTTTCTGGCAAAACTAGGAGTGTTTAAAAACCTTTCAGCAATTTCTTATCATAGCTTAGGGAATGGTATTGGTTGTTTTGAACCCAAATACAAAATATTCAAGGAACTTATATTTGGATCAAAGATGAACATTTTTTTAAGAGTCAAAGATTAAAGACAAGTTATCAGTTACATGATCTCTTTTTTTGTGTTATCATACTGAAGCAAAATGAACAGCTGTTTAAGTAATACTTTCAGAAAACAGTTCTTTTTGCTTAATCGGTTAATATCCCATCTTGTTCCATAAGGCACTTGGGGCAACTCTGCGGATAAGTGGTATAATAGAATTTTGAATATAGATGGGACAAGGAGAAAATGGTTAGAAACTAAGACAAAGCCAAGTATAAAGTTAGCACACACACTTTTGTATAACTTTTAGAATTGGGAGAAAACTATAGTATTTTCAAATGTTCCAGCTGGAGAAAAAGACTCACTGAGGGTTTTAATGACTCATACCATCCTTTGCAATCGTGCAGCATAGTGTCTTTAATGAAAATCTGTTCTTACCTTCCCACGGAAATAATCTTACATATTGCCAGTCTACTTTGCTGGTTAGTTGACTTGCTAACAGCTATTACATCAGCTTTATCAAAATGTATTCAGGTATATTCAGTATTATTAATTGTATTTGTATGTGTGCTCAGTCTTGTCCAGCCCTTTGCAACCTCATGGACTGCAGCCCACAGGCTCCTCTGCCCGTGGGATTCTCCAGGAAAGAATACTGGAGTGGGTTGTCATTTCTTTCTCCAGGGGATCTTTAGTTACAGAGTGTGAGCTCTCGTTCCCTGATCAGGGATGGAACCTGAGCCCCCTGCATTGGGAGCATGGAGACTCAGTCACTGAACCACCAGGGAAGTCCCGGTAATTGCATTTTATAATGTTATGCAGGATAAAGAGCACAGCTGCCATCCAGGAGACCAGAGATGTAACTTCGGTTCTGAGGCTGGATTCCTCCAAGCCTCGGCAGTCACGTACTTCTTGCTTGTGGGAAGAGAGGAGAACAGGTTGCTGGAAAGGGACTAACTAATTTGGGAGATGGAAGCACTCTATAAGAGTGTTGAGTAGTTTTGGTTTTTTTTTTTAATGAAAGATACTTACACTCTCACTTCACACTAGTAGAATTACTTCACACTCCAGAATTGCTACACCATGATTACAATTTGTATACCAGGGTTACTCAGGTATTTGTATTGGTCAAAATTATACAGTTAAGATTTGTGCATTTATACACATTTTACCTTAAAAAAATTAAAAATAATCACGTGGTTAGTGGGTAAAGGTGGCAGTGAAACAAGAAAGGCACAATTTTCAAAGCTGCGTGATAGGGACATGAGGTTACTACCCAGCTCTGTTCACTTTGTGTATGTACATTTGAAGCTTTCCATGTTAAAACGTTTTTGTTTAAGCAGCTTTTTGCTCTACCGTATTAGAATGTCAAAAGATAGCATTTAGAATTGATAAATCAAGAAAGTAATGTAAAGATATTCTTTAGAAAGGTGGGAAGAAATAAAAGGGGAAAATAATTAAAAGGCATCAAAGTGGTTGCCTATGGGGATCAGAACTGAGTGGAGAGAGGGCTGGAGTAGGAAATATCTCGATTTTGTTTTTTAAGGCTTTCAGTGTTATTTGATTTTAAACCTTATGCATATATTCCTTGGATAAAATGGTATATTCATTCTGTGGATTACTGCATTGTTTTCGAGGAACATATCCACAAGATCATATGTGGATAGTTAGTATTAATTCTAAGCACAGACCAACGCTTAGAATAAAAATTCTGTTTACTTACGATAGTTTCGGCAGTATGCCCAGTTATTTCCATTGCCAAAGTTGGTGATTTACATTTGAATTCCTACTTCAGATGCAGAGGGCTCCAGAGTTTGATTGCATAGTTTGTCCCTGCCCTCCTGCAGTTTGTTCTTGACACCAGAGTCAAGAGTGATCATTGTAAAGCTTCTATTACTCTCCTGTTCAAAAGCCACTGAGTGGCTTCCCATGGCAGTTAGAATACAATTCAAACTCTTCATCATGGCCCACAGACAAGGCTGTTTAAGTTACGTAAGTGATGGGACGGTGCCTTATCTTCCTGTCACTCTCCCTCCTCAGAGTCAGCTGGATCCGAGCTCTTGCTTGCCTCCAGGCTTTCATACTTGCCATTGCTCCTGAGACTGGCTGCTTCTCCTCATTCAGGAATTAATTCCTGAAAAAGGCCTCCCCTGACCATCTAGCTATAGTAGCTCCTTCCACCCCTTCTCCATGTAAAGCAGTGGTGCTGAGAGTGGTCCTCAGACCAGAGGCATGAGCATCACATGGGAACATTTTGTTTTGTTTGGAAATGCATTACAGACCTGCTGAAATAAAATCTGCATTTTAACAAAATCCCTCTGGTATGCAGTGTAAATTTTTCAAAAGTTCTGATCTAGAATAACCCCCCTTCTCAATTATCCTGTTAATAGCTCATTTCTGAAGATAACCTGGTCATTTACCTGTCCATTACTTCTCCCTAAATGAAATAACTGTACAACGATCTTCATGGTGTTCACTAATTTGTATAATTGGGGTCATACTATCTCTCACCCTCATCATTATGAAGAGATTCACTATTTCTTGGACTACTGAAGTCATGCAGCTAATGAAGAATCATTCATTTATCCTTATCTTCAGGTAGTTTGTCTTCAGAACTGAAGTTTAGGTTTTATTGAGCACTTTGCTACAGACTGAAAACACTTTCTTTTTGGTATTTTATAGAGCACTTCCATTTAGAGTGCTGACTTTAAAAAATGCACGATGTGAGAGTTGCAAGTTAAGTTTTACTTGGGGCAAAGTGAGGACTGTAGCCCCGCAGACAGCATTTCAGATCAGCAGGGGAAATATACATGACCTTGGTGGGGGGCAGTCCATGCAGTCAAGCACGTATTTTCTTGCAGGTTTCTTCTAGTCGGGAGCAGCAGTTGTCACTACAAAGGATTTTAGTGTTTTTCTAGATATGAGGAGATACAAGAATTGGGCTCATGAAATCAGCTCCTGAACATATCTGACTATCTGAAAACCTGTCCTGTGGGGTACTGAAAATCAACAGCTGCAGCAGCACATGATTTAATCCTTGGTAGATGTAGATGGCATCTACCTAGAGGTAGATGGCATGTGCCCATTTGGAGCTGACAAGAGTTAAAGTTATCGTTAAAGGTTTTTATCCAAAGTAAATGTTAGTCTACTATTTGTATCAAATTTTATTAAGTCAGAATTTAATAATTTTTTAATAAGAAAATAAGATTCTGAAAATGGAAAGTCAAATGCAAAATTTTCAGTTAAACTAAAAAACTGATGGGGCAAATAAGGCATCAACTTTTTCCTTGTGAGGTAAGATTCTAGGAAAAAATTTAGTTTTGGATAGTCTACATTTAAAGATAATGTTCCAAGGATATGTCTCCTCATGCATGTCCTGGGTCAGGAAAAGTTTCATTCTATGTACTTTGAGTGAAGAAATAGGACAGCTTACATTGGTGACTTTCAACTAGGGGTGATTTTGCCCCCAGGAGACATTTGGCAATGGCTGAAGACATTTTTGGTAGGTGCAGCTGATGGAGAGGGGGTGTAGAGGCCAGGAACCTCTAAATACCCTGTAATGACCCCCACTGAACACCTCTCCACCACAAAGAATTATTTAGCCCAGAATGTCAGTGGTGCTGCTTCAAAGAGACCCTGGCTTAAATTGAAAGAGCCCTTCCTCAGCAAATATTAATGCTATCAGAAGAACAACACTTTGTTCAACCTTTTGGAAAAGAGACTATATAGAAACTGGCAATTTAGAGATTCAGATGGGTATGTGGGCAGGAAATGCTCAGATAGTTCTCCTTTTTTAAAAAGAAGAAAACTCAAAAATAGGGTTACTGGTTTTCTTTATTTTACAGATGGGGTCGAGGATTTGGTCTTTTGGGTTCCATTTTTGGAAAGGATGGTGTATTAAACCAGCCAAACAGTATCTTTGGACTTATATTTTATATACTACAGTTATTACTTGGTAAGTATTTATACAGCAATACATAAATAAGTTTGTTATATTTCACTTTGTCTCTGCCCTGATGTGTCTTTATAGTAAATAAAAAGCAGATGTTGATGGTAGAACCACTAGTTTGTAACACATTTTTGTGTTGTGAAAACTTGGTTCACTAAGATTTTGATGACACTCAGCCTGAACTTGGTATTTGTTGGTATTTACTCAGGGGTAGGAGCATCCCAAGATGCTCAGAAAAACAAGTCCCATTCAGGGAAATTATTACTCCTAACAGTTTGCCTGGGAAACCTTGTTTCCTTGTTATTTTGTATACTCTGTAGCTATTTTAAAATATTATGCATTGAGAAAACATTAATAGTAAATTATATTCATTCATAATTCCATCACCTTTATTGCCACTATTGCCATTGTTCCTTCCCTTTTTTACTTAAATTTATGTGAACTCTCTTATACTGTCTATCCTCTTAAATGCCTTGCTGTTGTGGATATCAAGGCTTCAGATTTTTTAATGTTCTAAATAATACTACAGTGATTAACTTTGTTTAAAGTCCTCTTCTCATACTCCCTTTTCTCTTTGAATTATTTCTGCAAAATAAATATCTAAATGTAGGATGAATGAGTCAACAAACATAGATTTTTTTGGGGGTATGGATTTTAACAGGTAGAAACAAACTGATTTCCCCTCAGTTGTCAGGTTTTCCCAAAGCTTCAACCATCCTCATTTTTTTTTCCTATAAAATTTCTAATTCAGCAGTTACATATTAATAGCCATATTAATTTTATTTTTAATTTTATAGCATTTTAATTTCCTTATTATTGCCACTTTAGTTACTGGGATCCTGATTACAGTACATTTCATATTTGTTACAAACATTTTACTCATTCTTTATTCTTGTTTTAGAAATACTGATTTTGTGAATTTTGATTATACAGAACGTTTTATACTTTCAGAGTTAAATCCATCCATCTTTGTCCTTGCGTTTCAATTGTTAATATTTTATCCTGTTATCTGGCAGGTCTTCTGTCTAGCACCAATAGATTTATTGTAAGGCAAACTGTGCACCTAAATTTTTCTCAATAGCCCTATCAAGTTTGCTCCCTTCTGTTATCTGTATATCCTGCAGAAATAAAAAACACACACACAAGGATATTCATAGCAGTACAGTTTAAAATAGCAAAAAATTAGAAGTAGCTTGTAAGGATTAAATAAATTAGGTTACAAGCATGCTAGAAAATACTATGTAGCCATTAAAGGGAAAAGTAGGTCTACAAACCCTAGAAGATCAAAACCTAGTTTAGCAATTAAAAAAAAAAGCAAATTGTGGTGTAATAGAGAATAAGTATATGTTTATATATGTGCAGGGTTGAGACTTTCACCTTTTATTCCATTTAATTGTTCTGTTTGAATTTCTAAAGAAAGTGTAAGTTCACAATAAAATAACCTAAGAAAAGCTTCTGACTCTGTTAATTTTGGGAGATGGTGTTGAACAAATTATTGTTTTGTAATATTTGTTAATTTCATTATATACACATTTAAAATCATGTGTATTTTATGTATTTTTTCTAGTCACATTTTAGACATTCACATGCATTTTTAGTGTTTGTGTCTTTACCACTGGAGGCACATTTGAACTCCCCAAACCTGGTTTTCCAGAGCACATCAGGTTCACTCCCTTCTAAGTTGTTTAAGATTGAGCCTTTTTGTTTTTGGCGGCACTGTGTAGCTTTGTGGGATCTTAGTTCCCCGACCAGGAGTTGAACCCAGGCTACCACAGTGAAAGTCCTGAGTCCTAACCACCGGACTGCCAGGGAAGTCCCATCCTATTAGCTCTTTAAATCTGCACAACAGTCTTAAGAGGCAGTCATGATTATTATTCCACTTTTACAGTTAAGGAAAAGAGTGGCACAGAGAGTTAATAATTTGCCTGTATCATTTTGAAATTAACTATCTTAGACAAAATTAAGGTGCCAGCATTCATTTTTGAAGTTTGAGATATTAGCATCAATGAGGTCAGCCAACTTTGTTTTTTAGTAAAGGGCCAGATAGGAAATTATTTAGGCTTTGCTGACTGTCACAGCTACTCAATTCTGCCACTGTAGTGTGAAAGCAGTCACGGTCATTACATACATGAATGAGTGTGGCTGGATTACGATAAATCTTTATTTACAAAAGCAGGTGACATGAGTAATCCAACGGTATCTTAGTCTGGAAAGAGCCTTGTTAAAGCATCATGGATGTCACTGGTGGTCCAGTAGTTAAGACTCGGTACTCCCAATGCAGGGGACGCAGGTTCAGTCCCTGGTCAGGGAACTAAGATCCCACATGCCGCAGTGGGGTCAAATAAATAAATTAATAAATACTCCTCTGCTTTAAAAAAAAAAAAGATTCTTTAAACAACATGTATATTAAGTGGTCTCTAGGCAAGTCAGTCCTCATGGCTAGGCTAGAGCCCAGATGCAACTTCTCATTGTACTGGTAGTGTGATCTCAGCTCCGTAATTAACCTCTTCAAACCACTACCACTTACTTATTTTTATCCTGTTTCTGTGCTCCTTATCCATTAGTTGTTGGGTAGGAACTCTGCTGTCTCCTCTTGTCCTTGAAAATAAATGAACATGTTCTCATTACTGTTGGCTACAGGAAATTACAAAACCAAACGTGAAGATGTCAGATGATAGCATCAAGAGTTCAGGCAAGTGTTTGTCTTGAGAACTCAGGTTAGCACATATAACTGCCTTTTTTTCTCCATCTGGTTTGACCCACATGTGGCCAACTGGCCAAATGTGGTTTTCCTTATGCCCCAGGGTGAGCCCTTTCTGAAGTGTTTATCATGATTTTTTTTTTTCCTTCAACAGCATGTTGATGTAATCATCTCCCATTATGGGATTTTTGATAAATTTGATCTAAACACAGGAAAGCAAATTTTACTTTCCACAGGTGGGGAGCCTGTCTATAGTGAAAAGGGTTTGGGATGGTCTCACCAAATGTGTCCTGCTTGGAAGAGAAGGTTGTGGCCCTCACATTACTTTTTTTTTCTCCTCTCATTACTTTATTCATTATAGGAGGTAGGGGTGTCAGTTTTACAAATCTGCTTCATTGCATAATATGATTGCAAAAGTGCATATTTCTTTACATGCCTTAACTAAGGCTAGTTTATGAAATACGTAATATTTCATCCAGAATATTTACCAGTCAAAAATAGTGCAGCTATGGGATGGACATGTACACACTTCTATGTTTTAAGTGGCTGACTAACAAAGACCTACTGTAGAGCACGGGGAACTCTGCTCAGTGCTATGCGGCAGCCTGGGCGGGATGGGAGTTTGGGGAAGAATGTTGTTGTTGTTTAGTGACTAAGTCATGTCTGACTCTTTTGCAACCCCTGGACTGTAGCCCGCCAGGCTCCTCTGTCTGCAGGATTTCCCAAACAAGAATACTGGAGTAGGTTGCCATTTCCGCTCCAGGGGATCTTCCTAATCCAGGGATCAAACCCGCGTCTCCTGCACTGGCAGGTGGATTCTTCACCACTGAGCCACCAGGGAAGCCCTGGGAGAGAATGGATACATGTATATGTATGGCTGAGTTCCTTCACTACTCACCTGAAACTGTCACAACATCACAACATTGTTAATCAGCTATACTCCAATACAAAATTAAAAAAACAAAAAACAATAACACTGCAGCTATCAAATTTAAGAAAATAGACCTGTAGGTCTTGTCCTCAAATTTCAGAGTGTTTTGTCTTAAGATGAGTGTTCCAACCCTGCAGCAAATCACAAAATGTTATCTTTGAACTCGGAAACTTGTTCTCCAGTGTCAAGGTCTGATTGAGCCAAGTGTCCCTTCCTCTTGCAGGTCTGACAGCAAGTGCAGTTGCAGCTTTAATCCTCATGACATCCTCCATCATGTCCGTAGTGGGGTCTTTGTACCTGGCCTACATCCTGTACTTTGTGCTGAAGGAATTTTGCATCATCTGCGTCATCACATATGTGCTGAACTTCATTCTTCTTATCATCAACTACAAACGACTAGTTTACTTGAACGAAGCCTGGAAACGGCAACTGCAGCCCAAGCAGGACTGACTGCCTGACGAACTCTTTAACTGACAGTCTGAAGTCCCTTTTTCCATTAAGTTTATTTTGCAGCAGTTTGGTTTTTTTTTTTTAATTATTATTATTCTTCTTCTTCACAACAGACACTTTCCCTAAGAATCTTAAACTGATTTTTTAAAATCCTGTAAATTAGAAGGGGCTCTAGCTATTTTCTGTGTCAATCTTCATTTTAAATATGGATACAAAAAAAGGATACACCGAGCCAATCAAAGACAAGCTTTAACTTTACTTTGGAGATGTTTCTGAAATGGTAAAATGTAGCCCTAGCCCCTTCCCCTCAGTTGTAAAGTGAGCAACCATTGCTAGTAATTCTCTAATGTGTATAAATTCAATTTCAGGTATAACAAATGTGATCATGACATGAAAATATTTTAGAATAGATACTGTATTCAATATTGCCATGTTTACAATATGTAATATGTTTTTTAGCCAATGGATTTAAACATGTAGATTCAACTAGAATCCATTTATGTGCTATTTGTAAATAAAGGTAGAGATATTGGATCCAGCCCTGCAGAAACTTGCTGTTCAGCTTAGTTGGAGTGTAGTGATGAGGAACTGTCAGCTCAACGCTGACTGAAGACATAGTGAAAATACTAAGTCCACACAGAGCATCTTGTAGAAAGGACTGGCAACTATGGGTCCAGCACTGACAGCAAAAATAATAGGGTGACTGGTTCCCTTTCATCTCCTTCCTTTGAAAGGAAGAAACTAAATTTGGACATTCAAGTCAAGCTTGTACCTAGTCATAAAACTGGATCAATTAGAAACTTACAGTGTGAGTCATGTGACCAGACTTTCAAGGCCTTCAGGACACTAAAGGTGGGAAAATGGGTAGATTTCTCTGGCAAAAAGCTGGAAATAGTACTATGGCATTTCATAGTCTCTTACAACAGGTGAATTTTCATGCACTTAATTTTCCTTCACATTAGTGCCAGTCAACCAAACAGTATTGGCTTGGAAAATCATCAGTATAAGCCCCAGTCACTCCAGAGTAGGATTACTCTTGGGTAGCTCCATAGTGTTTCTCCTGTTTCTTTCTTCACTAACTAACCGGACATCTAGTTTAATTGTTTTAGGGTCAGATATTACATTTGTAAACTTTAGGGCTGACATGCTGCTCAATTGGCTTAACTGGGAGGAGTACTAAAGGGAGAAGTATCTCAAGGTGGAACATAGTACTCTTTCTAATAACTACCACAATGCAGAGTCTTTGAAAGCGATTTGAATAAACCCAAATGAAACAGTGACAGTACATTTCTGTGGTTAACATCTTCTATCAGAATGTTCAAAGTGCCTTCTGTCTTAAATCTCAAACCAAATATTTTGTGTGTTGAACTTGGGCAGAAGTGTCCTTCCTTCCTTTCTCAGCATGAAGTAGGAAACTTGCAATCTATAGAAAGGTTCTGTGTGATCTTTTCATTTCTTAGGTTGAGAAGGAGTAGCCATGTTTTTGCTTCCAATTCTGTTCATCATTATGTTAAGAAGAAACCAGTAACTATTGAGTGTTCTGCCTTTTGTAAGGAGGGGACAGGCTCTGCTCTGTAAACCATAACATGTAGAGTCATCAACTGTTCAGCAGTTTCCAACCAACTGTCATAACTGATGCAATGTATTTTTCTAGCCCAAGGCAGGTATCAAATTGCATTGTAATGTACTTTTAACCAGTTTAAAAAAGTTTTGTAAAAGATAGCTTAGTTCTGATTTCATCCAGGCTTATATTTTTTCCCATGAATGTGAATATTTCAATGTCTGTTTTATTATGTATGTATTGTTCTTGTTTCTCTAAAGAACTCTAGAAAGTGTTGATTAGATGTCTGGTATTTATGGAGAAATGAGTTCTCTGGAGAGCTGCACAATGAGCTCGTCGGGCAGCAGAGCTTCCCCTCTACCCAGCAGATCAGCAGTTCACTGCTTCTCTTTTCTCCACTAGTCTGGAGACGGCTTCACCGTGATGACATCGTGGTATATATATATATATATATAAACTCTGGTCGTGCTAAACAAATTCCTTGTGTCCCCATTTAAAATTGTTCTTTGCCCTCCTCTGTATCGGTCAGCGGAGTAGAGTTAAAAGCTTGTCTTGATGTTGCGTTCTTGCGAATGTCTGCAATTCTTTCTTGAGAAAACATCAGAGTGTTCAGTCAGACCCTTAAAGTTTTTCCTTTGCTTTTCTAAGCCTTGGGGACACTACTGTTTCAGTTACAGAAAAATTGTTGCCACATTCCTACAACCCCAGAATTCATGTCCTTCTCACTGAGTGATGAACATGTGCTGCCTAAAATACCACGTGGTGATGCCCATCTCTCTCTAAGCAAAGGACCCCCACCCTGGTATGTGTGATTTGGTATTTTTCCCTGGGAAGAATTTAGGCTTCCCTCTACATCCTCAATTCTACCCTAGAAGAAGGGGAAAACCCCCTGTTATAAAAGTCTGAGGGTTATTAAGATTATTTCAGACTGAATATTTAAACACTGCAACATTATTAGCTACCAGTGTTGAAGAACAGGTTGGGGAAAATGTGAATTTCTACTTCTCAGTTTTCAAAATGATTTGTAACAGATGAAGCCTCTTATTTACTTGACAGTCCTATCATTTGAAGAAATAAGAGAAGTCATGGTTACATGATAAATTTTAGGAAAGCTCGGTGGTTTGAAGGGTTTCATTTTTTTTTTTTTCATTGCAACTAGTTGCTATCAGTTGAGGGCCAACTTCTGGTGAAATGTCAGGTTTAACTAGCTGCGTGCCCTGGGTGTATGTAGCCCCTCCTTAAATCCATGACTTTCAAAGATGTTGATAGCATTGACTATTTTCATTAAAAGAGACAAAGATCTCTCATTTGATACAAGAGATCTTTGGACCTCCTACATAAAATACAGGACCAAGACTACAGTGAAATTAAAACTGTGAGTTGGCTTTAGTTTTCTTAGACTTCATTTAAGACTATCAGCAGAAGTACAAAGTTGTCTTCAGCAAAGCTTGACACCAATAACTGCTGACAGATCTTACCCTGAACATCAGTACTGGACAACTGCCAACAAGAAACCCACTCTCATTTTTGGTAACCTATTTGGGAAAGAATACCTAATATTCAATCTTTATCCTCGTGTATTTTTGTGTATTTTTTCCCCAATGGGCAAGTACTGGTGAAACACTGCTATTTATATATTTTAGGCAGCACTTATGAGTCCTAATTTGTGAGAACTACCCTTCAATAAATCAAAGGTATGGGGTGGGAGTCCAGGTGACTTGGTTAAACTTTTTTTTTTTTTACATATTAGCCCAGAAAAGGTAAAATGTTTTGTTATAAAACTGTATTAAGCATGGCCTAAGTATTAGGTGTATGATCTGTATAGTATGTTCCATCAAAAAATATTTATTACTAGTGCTTTAAGCTCCAGAGTAAACATTCATTTTAAATGGAGTTCACTGGGCAGATTTCCCCTTTAATATAGATAGAAATATTCTTTATCAGAGATTTAGGACACAGTTTTGCTAACTGGTAAAAACAAATGTAAATATGTAAGAATGTTTATTTGTTGCACATAACTTTTTTGGTATAAAATAAATGTAGAAGTTACCTGTGGAAGTTGTGCTGCCCTCATTCTTATACTGCAGTGTTACATTTCAAAAAAGCAGCAGAAATGAATTCAGTCTTAGAAATGATTTTAAGTTTTGGTCACACCCTGAGGTCAGGACCTTAGTTCCCCAACCAGGGATCGAACCCTTGCACTGGAAGACAGAGTCTTAACCATTGGACCATCAGAAGTCCCTATAACTGATCCTTACAATTAATAGCACAGCCTCATTTCTACAGGTATAGAGTTGACTCTTTTTCTCTTAAATTATATGTAACTTATAGAATACGGAAGCAGAATTCTTAGAGATTCTAGTTCTTGGAATTCCTGTGGGTTTATGATGTATGTGGTTGTCAAGAATTAATGAAGATGTTACTGCTTACAGTTCTGTGAGCACATAGACTGTATTAATCAGATGTTTTTTTCACTGCTTTACTATAGCTCACCTTGAATACGCCACTCTTACAATCTCCTAAAAAGTTAATATCTGCAAGAAAGATAATTTCATTGGAAATGCAGTTAGCCATATTTTATTGAATAGAACAAATGTGTCCTTTGTTAGGACCTTAGGACTTGAGAAAAGAATCTTACCCCTAATTTGTAAAACATTTAAGTGTGTCTGTCATTTTTCTTTTTTTTTTTTTTTGTTTGTCAGGTAAAGAATTTTATATATTATTCCTTGACATTAAACTGGAACATAAAACTTGATTACTTCAAGGAACTTAGAAGTTTTAGTGGTAACAAAATAAATATACAGCCCCTAAAATTCCTAACTTATTATTTGGGTGAACGACACCCTCATTTCTTTTTGGAGCTTGGAAACGAAGGTTAAAAAAGGGCATGTGTTGAGACATGAAATCCCCTACAAGTGGATCAAACTCTGTATTAAGAACTACATTGATTTATGGTCTTCAATTTGAAGCTTTCAGCTTTAAATCAGGGTTGATGAACACTGACATTTTACAAATAACGTACCTTCCTTAGTGGAGCCTGCGGAAGAGGGGCAGGAGGACAGATTCCTAAGGAAAGACCGTCCTCGGGGTCAGAGCAGGGGGCGGCACCAGGTACAGAAGTCTGCCTGTCTGCAGCCCGTGCATTCAGAGGCTGCATCTCCACCTTCAGTGGAGTTGGCTGTGATGGTCCAGTGGGCTTCTACACCTGTCTGTCCCTTTCAGTCCAGACAGAATGATGGCTGCAGTTAGAAGAATGTCCCAGAAGCACTGGTAACCCCTGAGCTCCCTTCCAGTTCCAACACTGCTCCATTCTTACCTCCCTTCTGCATCTCCGTCAGCTTAGCTCCAGTTCACAGACCCTGTGCCTTCTTCTTCCAGCATGATGCTACTTTCTGTGAATTTGCTGAAACTTCAGCCCTTCTGGGGAGTTCCTAGCAGTTGTTTTCTACTGTCACCCACTCAAGTCAAGGCTGCCCACAAGCGCAGGCAGCAGGGCTGGTTTGGTGGCAACACAGTTTGTAAGCCGTGACTCTGAATGGGGCATGAGTGCTGAAGCAGAGGTTTCCCAAGACTCTGTTAAGGCTACAAAGATGTAGAAGCTCTATACAGTCAGCAAAAACAACACCGGGAGCTGACTGTGGGTCAGATCAGGAACTCCTTACTGCTCAATTCAGACAAATTGAAGAAAGTGGGGAAAACCACTAGACCATTCAGGTATGACCTAAATCAAATCCCTTATGATTATACAGTGGAAGTGAGAAATAGATTTAAGGGACTAGATCTGATAGAGTGCCCGATGAACTATGGGGGTTCGTGACACTGTACAGGAGACAGGGATCAAGACCATCCCCCAAATAAATGCAAAAAAGCAAAATGGCTGTCTGAGGAGGCCTTACAAATATCTGTGAAAAGAAAAGAAGCAAAAAGCAGAGATATACCCATTTGAATGCAGAGTTCTGAAGAATAGCAAAGAGAGACAAGAAAGCCTTCCTCATGATCACTGCAAAGAAAGAGGAAAATGATAGAATGCGAAAGACTAGAGATCTCTTCAAAAAAATCAGATATACCAAGGGAACATTTCATGCAAAGATGGGCACGATAAAGGACAGAAATGGTATGGACCTAACAGAAGCAGAAAATATTAAGAAGAGGTAGCAAAAATACACAGAACTGTACAAAAAAGATCTTCATGACCCATATAATCACAATGTGTGATCACTCACCTAGAGCCAGACATCCTGGAATGTGAAGTCAAGTGGGCCATAGGAAGCATCCCTATGAACAAAACTAGTGGAGGTGATGGAATTCCAGTTGAGCTATTTCAAATCCTAAAAGATGATGCTGTAAAAGTGCTGCACTCAATATGTCAGCAAATTTGGAAAACTCAGCAGTGGCCACAGGACTGGGAAAGGTCAGTTTTCATTCCAATCCCAAAAAAAGGCAATGCCAAAGAATGCTCAAACTACCGCACGATTGCACTCATCTCACACGCTAGTAATGCTCAAATGTCTCCAAGCCAGGCTTCAGCAATACGTGAACCGTGAACTTCCAGATGTTCAAGCTGGTTTTAGAAAAGGCAGAGGAACCAGAGATCAAATGGCCAACATCTACTGGATCATCGAAAAAGCAAGAAAATTCCATAAAAACATCTATTTCTGTTTTACTGACTATACCAAGGCTTTGACTGTGTGGATCACAATAAACTGTGGAAAATTCTGAAAGAGATGGGAATACCAGACCACCTGACCTGTCTGTTGAGAAATCTGTATGCAGGTCAGGAAGCAACAGTTAGAACTGGACATGGAACAAAAGACTGGTTCCAAATCAGGAAAGGAATACGTCAAGGCTGTATACTGTCACCCTGCTTATTTAACTTATATGCAGAGTACATCATGAGAAACACTGGGCTGGATGAAGCACAAGCTGGAATCAAGATTGCTGAGAGAAATATCAATAACCTCATATGCAGATGACACCACCCTTATGGCAGAATGTGAAGAACTAAAGAGCCTGTTGATGAAAGTGAAAGAGGAGAGTGAAAAAGTTGGCTTAAAGCTCAACATTCATGGGAAAAAAAAAATATGGAAAGCTCAACATTCAGAAAACTAAGATCATGGCATCCGGTCCGATCACTTCATGGCAAATAGATGGGGAAACAGTGGCTGACTTTATTTTTGGGGGTTCCAAAATCACTGCAGATGGTGACTGCAGCCATGAAATTAAAAGACACTTACTCCTTGGAAGGAGTGTTATGACCAACCTCGACAGCATATTAAAAAGCAGAGACATTACTGTGTCAACAAAGGTGTCTAGTCAAGGCTATGTATGGATGTGAGAGTTGGACTATAAAGAAAGCTGAGCACCGAAGAATTGATGCTTTTGAACTGTGGTGTTGGAGAAGACTCTTGAGAGTCCCTGAGACTGCAAGGAGATCCAACCAGTCCATCCTAAAGGAAATCAGTTCTGAGTGTTCATTGGAAGGACTGATGTTGAAGCTGAAACTCCAATATTTTGGCTACCTGATGCAAAGAACTGGCTCATTTGAAAAGACCCTGATGCTGGGAAAGTTTGAAGACAGGAGGAGAAGGGGGCGACAGAGGATGAGATGGTTGGATGGCATCACTGACTCAATGGACATGAGTTTTTGTAAACTCCAGGAGTTGGTAATGGACAGGGAGGCCTGGCATGCTGTGGTCCATGGGTCACAAAGAGTTGGACACGACTGAGTGACTGAACTGAAGGCTACAAAAACAGTCTGAGACACCAAAAACAAATGCAGATGCTTTTCAGCACTATAGATCATTCAGTTTACAGATGGTCACTTTTAAGCTAACTCTTTATTCTGATATGACAAAAGCCTTTATTTTCTTTATTATTATTGGCCATGCTGTGCAACATGTGGGATCTCAGTTTCTCAACCAGGGATCAAACTCAGGCCCCCTGCAATGGAAGTGCTGAATCTTAACCACTGGACTGCCAGGGAAGGCCCTACCAGTCTTTATTTTCACCTCTAATGTTCCCTTCTAGCAAATGACCACAAAATCCAGATGAGAAGCTTCCAAGTCTGCTATGCACAGCACAGGAAACACTTGCTCGGTGTGCGATGGAAGTAGCACCCCCTCCCTGGGGAGGAGGAGCTGACCGAGCCAGTGTCTGCAGAGAGGTAGTTCTCGCTTTAAACAGTAAACAGGCTGTTTCCCACACACTGTGACTTCACAGCTGACTGGTGGTACCTGGTTTCATTGGCAAGTCTCCAGTATCTCTCTCGCAACAGGAATGCTGCACTCTTTGGCTGTCTCTGCCGAGTGAAGATCCCTTTTCTGTTCCCCATCATCCGAAATGGTGCTAAAAACAAGGCAAAAGTTGTTTCAGATAACTGCTGATGGGGAAAATCAGAACCATCCTGGAGCCAAGCTGGGAACTCAGCAATGTCTTCATGCTTTAGAGCTGCTCGGCCTGCTGTGGACTCAGAAGTGGCCGCTTAATGGGTTAAAGACTTAAATACCAGTGCTCCCTGAAACACTTCAGCTTTCACCCATTAGGGGAAGAATCTAAAACTGTTTATCTTTTCCTTGCAAGATAATGTTTAAGACATTTAGGGTGCCCAGCTGCCTGGTAACTGGAGCGGGGCTGAGACAAAGTTACCCTTGAAAAGGCTGGAGCCCTCTCTGAAAGGACTGCTCTCCTCGTAGGAGCCAGAGTCTTGACCACTCACGGGTGCCCAAGCAGGATCTACTAGTAGACGTTAAAGTCCTCCCAGGCAAACTTCCACCTGGGTCCCCACCCCTGGAGGCAGGTCCACCAGAGAGGGAGGTCTCTCCACCCCCAAGAGAAACCACGCCTTCCGTGAAATGGAAAGGCCTCTGCCACTGAAAAGTTCCAGACAACAATCATTTCTTCCATGAAAAGCAAATACCAGGCACCGTGCCAAGCACTTCAAGTGGAATCCCTATGTCAGCCTGCGAGGTGGTGGGCGTTATCCCCACTTCACAGGCTTGTGAAAAGGTAGGTACCTTGTCCAAGGTCACACAGCTAATTCCTTAATACACAAAGCCAGTGCCCCTACTCACAAAACTAGGTTCCCATCCAAGTTTATTTCCAGGAGCCATTAATCTCATTTGCCAAGGAGAGTGGAGGCTCGTGTTCTCTTTCTTTTTCCTCTTTCACTCTTGCCATTCTGATTTTCTTTTTTTTCTTATTTTGGTTTTTTTGGCCATGCTGTGTGGCATGAAGAATCTTAGTTCTCTGACCAGGTTTCAAACCCATGCTCCCTGGGCCACCAGGAAGCACCCCGCCCTCCCGCTGCTGCCCAAATTCTGATTTTTAATTGAACTTTAACCTTTCAAAAACCTGTCTTTCCCCAGAAGTAGTAAAAGGTAATTCCCACTATTATCAGTTCTTCCCTACCTCCCCCAGCTTGCTCTCCTTCCTCAATTTACAATATATCAAGAATCTAGTAACCTAGAGGGGTAAAAAGATACAGGAAACATTCATTTGGAAGTTTGTCATCGTCCTCACTTGAGAAAGTACAGATCATGTTCACTCTGAAGGCTTTTAAACATACTCCTACCTTCAAAACCCTTTGATACTTACCTGTATTTGGTGAACCTGCCTTTCCTAAGCACATCATATAAAACAAACTGAAATGTCTTAGGTTTCTCAGGCTTTCTACCTTACCCTAGAATCCCTAGTGTATCCCAGTAAATCCAGTGCAAAATCCACTTTTTCCTCATACTATCGTGAAACACAGAGGAAAGCTGGCCACCTCTGCCTTGAGACGGTCGCCCCTCCCATTTACTTCAGAAAATGATCTCCATTACTTGCAGCATGCAAGTAATCAGCTGATTGCTCAACACAACTGACTTTTTCCTAGGAAATCCTCTGTGTGGCCTGCTTTGATGACATCAGCCTTCCCCTGCTTGTTTCCAGGGTTCTTAGAACCAAATGTCCTAAACTAACACGCCCACCAGAAACAATGAGAAGGGGTACATCCCATGCACCCACATGCCACTTACACTGATTAGTCATGAAATCAGCAAAATTCCAGATGAGCTCGCCAACCACATATTCTTTGCGTTTTTGGTCCAGAACCACATGATACTGCTCGAGCAGGCCTTTCTGGTACTCTTCACTGAACATCAGTGGTGGATCCTGGAATTCACGGCAAAGAGAGAAGTTAGGAGTCAGAACCAGCAAAACTGTAAACATTAGATAAAAATAAAGATCCATGTGATGATGACCAAAATATCTGTCCTTGTGGTGGGCTATGGTGCCTGCAGGACTTGCTGATACTGGTGTAGGGACAAGCCAGTGTGTGATGTAGCCCAGGGTTTAAAAAAAAAAAAAAAAGCTTAAAACAACAACAACCTTAATTAGTAACTGCTTTGTTTATAAACAGAATTTTTTTTTTTTTTGGCTGCACCAAGCGGCTGGTGGAATCTTAGTTCCCCAACCAGGAATTGAACCTGGACCTTTGGCAGTGAAAGCACAAGTCCTAACCACTGGACCACCAGGGAATTCCCATTAAACAGAATTTAATATTTGCTTTAATTTTTTCCACCTCTATTCCCCACTGCAGTCTTACAACTGAACTATACTATGAATAAAAGTACGTCTCTGGATAATAAATTTAAAACCCAAGGCTGAAGTAGCTGCCAATGCATAATTTGAGCACTGGTGTGACTCAGATTTAACTTGCCTCCAATTCCCCTGTATCTCATCTAGGTAAGGAGCTGCCGTTTAGCCCATTGACATTCAACAAGTCATTATTTCGCATCTGTTTATATGCCAGGCATTAGGGACAAAGTAACAAACTAGAAAGATAGGGTCCCTGCCCTCATGGGCTTTACAGTCTGGCAAGACCCAGCTCTAAGTGTAACAAGGGTGAATTGGGAGCGTGTAGTGTGTGTGAGGGGCTGGGTAGGAGGAGGTTAGCAGGGGGCACAGAAAGCTTCATTGAAGCTGAGACCTGCCAGGTGAGGAGGGAGAAAAGCAGAGGCCACATCTGTGGACTGTCTCCGGTGAAGAGCTCACGTTTGTCATGTGCTAAGATATGACAATCTTTGAGATGTTCTTAGAGCATAAGGTCTGAGTTTTCATCTCATGGGAATTTGTGGCAGGTGCTGAGTCTTTGACGCTCAAGGGTACAGCACCACAGTCATCTTCCAAGGGAACCAACCCCTGTTGGCTTGGGTCCTCCTTCCCGACAAGAAGGATTAAAATGCTATTATACAGGATGCAGTGCAGATGCAACTGTGGCGTGCTTATGAAGCCAACGGAAACACAATTTGATCTCCCTCCTGAAGCCCCCAGTCTGGTCAAGGAGAGAACAAAAGAGAGCATGACCGCTCATGGTGTTCCTCTGCCCACGTAGGTGGGGTCCTCCTCACCAAAGCATGGACACCTGAGCTGAAGCAGGAACGCTGAGTCAAGTTCCATTAGCTGGCGATTATGGAGCTAAGAAGAGCTTCCTGGGCAGAAGGAAGAGGCCAGGCCAGCATAGGAGCCACCAAACAGAATAGACCAGGATCCCCTGGGAGAGGGCAGAGGGCAGAGGGCACGCACAGCCCCGACCACAAATTAGGGCTTCGTCAGGGGTAGGCAGGGACAGGACAAGGTTTGGATTTGTCCCACGGACCACCTGGGCAGCCTGTGGGAGGCTACCGGAGGACCATGCACATGGATCAGAGGCTGAGTCCAGGGCGGCTATGTGGAGGGGCAGCTTCGGGCAAGCCTGGTAAGGTGGGAGGTGGCCAGGACAAGGGAGGGACGGGGAAGGAGGCAGATCTCTAGCCTGGGGCAGTGATGACTGACATCACTGTCTGAGAGAGAGAAAAAAATAACTCCCATCTTCGATGCAACTTACCTCGTGAAACCCTGCAATGGTTCCTGCTCCGTACTCGCTCTGAATCATCGGCTTCTGGTAGGCCTTATACCAGTTCTCGAACTGGGTTGCCAGCTGCAGCTGAATCACCTCCATGTGCCCATAGTCGTGGTACCAGGAATAGTAGCTGTTCACACAGATGACGTCCACGTACGGCGCCTGCAGGAGCATGGGCGCGAGTTCGCCAGCCAGCAGAGGGGGGGACTCACCCTCGGGGTGCCTCCGGCAGAGGAGATAAGAAGAGAGTGCGCCAAGTGCGCTCAATGCGCACGTGTAGGAAGTAACAGTCAGAAGGGACCTGAATGGAGCGAGTGAACGGGGCAGGTCTCTTGTTCTGGGCTGGCACCCTGACCTGGCTGCAGCCGGGCTCCAGGGAGGGCGATGAGAGGCAGAGCTGGCGCCAGGCACGCCGGCCCCAGGGGAGCCCATCCAGACCGGACTTGTTCATCTCTAGGTTGTGCTCCTGTCACTAGTCATCCCCTTGGCCCCTTGAGGGCCGAAGGCAGTTTTTCTCCTCACAGAGCCTCCCGAGTCCCCTTTCTGAGCTACTGTCATGGGCCCTGAAGAGACTGGACAGTTCCCTCCTAGGAGGGCGGCCCGGCTTGGGGGGCAGCACTGCCACGAATCTGATCAACGTGGTGCTCGGTGGACCGCAAAGCTCACCTGAATGCACGCTCGCCTGCAGAGTCTGCAGTGGGACCCATGTGGGCCCTCTGTCCCAAGGGACTGCAGCGCCCTTCTGAACTTGGGGCGGAAAGATGCAGGTGGGAAGCGGTACCTCTGGGTGGGCACGTGACCACAGCTCACACATCCCAGCGGGTGAGCCTGGCAACCTTCTGGGGCGACCAGTACAGGCTCCCTTGCCCACTAGAGCAGGAAGGGATGCCACTGAGACTGAGACGCCCAGGTCTGCCTGTGCCCCACTGGTATTCCACCACACTCGTGTTCCTTTGGAGGGACGGCACCAGAGCTCTAGGGCTGCAAACCATCTGGTCCATGTGAAAACGACAGTGCTCACAACTTACACTTGTACGCAGTGTTTTCTTATCCTCTCTTTCTTGAGAGGATTTCTCTTTCTGGAGCACTTTTTGGTACTGGCCTCAGCTCCCTAGTGAAGCATCTTCTTGCTCCCGTGTTTTACAGCTTTTGTGTAACAACTCAACACAGTTTCTGACGAGCTGCTGTGCCCAGGGACCATGAGAGGAGCCATGGGGTCCAACCGGCTGGGTGAGCCTCTCCCTTCAATTTTCAGTCCCCCCAGTGCTGGATCTCAGCAGTGGTTCCCAAAGCTGACTGATGCCTGGAATCACTGAGTTTTTTAAAAACTCAGATTCCTACCCTGGACTTTACAAATCAGAATCACAAAATCCAGAGCTCTGTACTTTCAAAAAGCTTCCCTTTGTGGCTCCAATGATCAGGCAAGTTGGAGAAACACAAGTCAATGATGACTTTAGGCTCCCGTAAACCTCTGCCCTTTTCTGAACATATTAAACTGGGGGCATAAAATTAAATCAAGGTCCGGAGAAACTGATGAATTGAGAACGAACTGAGAAGGAACTCGACCTCCCTACGCCTGACCTCCTTAGCTTCAAGAACCTACACTGCCTGGCAAAGGACCGCCTGGCAGTTCTCTTTAACCCAAAGACCATCTATGGAAATGGTCAGACTGGCTGCTCATGGTCCCTCCCAGCAGCTCATGTCAGCAAGCATCAGGGCAGGACAAGAGGACAGGCAGAGGGAAGATGTGTGGAGACCCCCAGGCTCACCCCCAAATCTGCTTCATAGTTGGTGTTGGTCACAAAGGTCACAGGCCGGGAGGGGTCCAAGGCTTTAGTGTGGGCAATCAGCGTCCTGTCCACGGAGGGCAGAAGACACGGTGCTGTCAGTCTGGGGAGGGCTCTCAGGCACCCCTACTGAATCCCCTCCTTCCCATCTTCCCAGACAAAAAACCCCCAAGACACGCTCTCCTCCCTGCCTTCTAGGGTATTTCAGGTAAGCAAACGTGTTCCTCAAGACATCATGTTCCCTGACATCATTCTCTCTTCCTCTCTCCCCAGATCTTAGCCCCTCACCCCTCCCGCAAAGGGGGCCATCCTCAAGAGATGAGAGGCACAGCTGAGATCTTTGAGCTGGGTGCTGCCAAAAGCAAGTTTCCGCATCTCTGACAAAACCAGGATGTGGTGCAGGTTAGGATAAGTGTTAATTTAACACATCACTAGGGGGCGAGTCCTGGGAGGCAAGCTGTGAACTGGGCACTCATTAGACTTAAACAGGCATGTATTGGCTTGGCCAAAAGTTCATTCGAGTTTTTGAACAATGTTATGAAAAAACCCAAACAAACTTTTTCCCAACCCGACCTCCAGCTGTGTGTCCAGAGCTCGTCTTTGCCTAGGAAGGTCCACTACCCAAGCCCTCCATCCAGAACAGGGGGATGCAGGCAGTGTCTCCTAGGGAGTACTTCCATAGCCTCTGCTGCCTCCGCAGTATGTGAAATAATTCCCCACTCCAGGCTACGCCACAACTGCAGGATGGTAAGAAAGAGAAGGAATCGCCAGGAGGCTGACCCACTGTGGGGAGATGGCCCCTATGTGAGGTTTCTGTCCACAGCAATGCCTGGGGGATGGGGGAAGTTATTGGTATGCAGTGAACAGACAATGAACTTCAGGTGACCTGGTCCCGTCCAACAACGTAACTTTAGGATAGTTAGAATATGGACGTCACTGAAAATCTGTTTATAGTTATATGCCTAGGTCAGTCACCTTTATAAAGCTTAAATTCCCTTTACAGGTGAACTCAAAAGCATTGCAAAGTGGTTTTGTGCAGTTGTAACATGTACTAAATTTCCCAGGAATGGAGACACCATAAAAATCAAGGGAAGACCCAGGTGGTAAAGAACCAGCCTGCCAAGCGGAAGACGTGGGCTTGATTCCTGGGTCAGGAAGATCCCCTGGAGAAGGAAATGGCAACCTACTCCAGTACAGGCAGTACTCTTGCCTGGGAAATCCCATGGACAGAGGAGCCTGGTGGGCTACAGTCCATGAGGTCGCAAAGAGTCAGACATGACTTAGCGACTAAACGGTAACAGCAGGGCTTGGTTTTGACTGGAACTCTATCGGCCATGGCTCAGTCCCTTAGAAAAGAGCAGAACGGAAGGAAATGCTGCTCGTGGCACCAGAGTCACCGGCTATGCTTCCCAGCCCTATTATCAGCTTCTGTAGCTGTGTTTTCAGGGAGTTCCCCAGAAGGTGCAAGCGCCTGACTCCTTCACTGGCCCTTCTGGAGAGTCAGGCTCACACATTTATGTGTTCTTTGACAAATGTCTCTTCCTTACGTCAGTCAGGCCAGGTCACTGCATTTTTTCTTTAATTTGAAGTTTTATGTATAAATAGGTTAGGTTAGGTCTGGATCTCATCGCAGGTGTGTTAAGGAGACACTTGGCTGAAATCAGGATCTGGGTGGGTGGGCACCCTGTCCCCTGAGTTGCCTAGAGGTGGATGCGCCTGGGCTGGGAGCGGCCCACACCCATCGCAGAGCCCACCACACTTGGCTGAAACCAGGATCTGGGTGGGTGGGCACCCTGTCCCCTGAGTTGCCTAGAGGTGGATGCGCCTGGGCTGGGAGCGGCCCACACCCATCGCAGAGCCCACCACACTTGGCTGAAATCAGGATCTGGGTGGGTGGGCACCCTGTCCCCTGAGTTGCCTAGAGGTGGATGCGCCTGGGCTGGGAGCGGCCCACACCCATCGCAGAGCCCACCACACTTGGCTGAAATCAGGATCTGGGTGGGTGGGCACCCTGTCCCCTGAGTTGCCTAGAGGTGGATGCGCCTGGGCTGGGAGCGGCCCACACCCATCGCAGAGCCCACCACACTTGGCTGAAATCAGGATCTGGGTGGGTGGGCACCCTGTCCCCTGAGTTGCCTAGAGGTGGATGCGCCTGGGCTGGGAGCGGCCCACACCCATCGCAGAGCCCACCGCACTTGGCTGAAATCAGGATCTGGGTGGGTGGGCACCCTGTCCCCTGAGTTGCCTAGAGGTGGATGCGCCTGGGCTGGGAGCGGCCCACACCCATCGCAGAGCCCACCGCACTTGGCTGAAATCAGGATCTGGGTGGGTGGGAACCCTGTCCCCTGAGTTGCCTGGAGGTGGATGCGCCTGGGCTGGGAGCGGCCCACACCCATCGCAGAGCCCACCACACTTGGCTGAAATCAGGATCTGGGTGGGTGGGCACCCTGTCCCCTGAGTTGCCTAGAGGTGGATGCGCCTGGGCTGGGAGCGGCCCACACCCATCGCAGAGCCCACCGCACTTGGCTGAAATCAGGATCTGGGTGGGTGGGAACCCTGTCCCCTGAGTTGCCTGGAGGTGGATGCGCCTGGGCTGGGAGCGGCCCACACCCATCGCAGAGCCCACCACACTTGGCTGAAATCAGGATCTGGGTGGGTGGGCACCCTGTCCCCTGAGTTGCCTAGAGGTGGATGCGCCTGGGCTGGGAGCGGCCCACACCCATCGCAGAGCCCACCACACTTGGCTGAAATCAGGATCTGGGTGGGTGGGCACCCTGTCCCCTGAGTTGCCTAGAGGTGGATGCGCCTGGGCTGGGAGCGGCCCACACCCATCGCAGAGCCCACCACACTTGGCTGAAATCAGGATCTGGGTGGGTGGGCACCCTGTCCCCTGAGTTGCCTGGAGGTGGATGCGCCTGGGCTGGGAGCGGCCCACACCCATCGCAGAGCCCACCACACTTGGCTGAAATCAGGATCTGGGTGGGTGGGCACCCTGTCCCCTGAGTTGCCTAGAGGTGGATGCGCCTGGGCTGGGAGCGGCCCACACCCATCGCAGAGCCCACCGCCACTCTCCCGTGGCTGCCAGGCCAGGCTGAGCTGGGCCAGCAGGCTGTGGCCTCACCCAGGACCTGGCCCAGGCAAGGCAGGAGCACTCACTTGAAGTAGTAACCAGCCGGTTTCAGGAAGGAAGCGGGCTCATTGGCCAGGGACCACATGACAACGGCCGGGTGATTCTTGTCCCTGCGGATCATTTCCTCCATCACCTCCAGGTGGTGCTGCAGAGATACGTTGCTGAAGCTCTCACTGTGGGCCGAGGGAGGAAAGGGAGCAGGTCAGTCTGATTTTCCTTCCTTCTAGTAGAAACTCTGGGCTTCCTTGATGACTCAGTGGTAAAGAACCCGCCTCCCAACGTAGGAAAGGCAAGTTCGATCCCTGGGTCGGGAAGATCCCCTGGAGAAGGAAATGGCAATCCACTCTAGTATTCTGGCCTGAAGAATCCAACAGACAGAGGAGGCTGGTGGGCTACAGTCCATGGGGTCTCAGAGTCACAGACAGCTGAGCGACAGCACGCACACACAGGCTGCTGAGCTGGGAGGGCCAGGTAGTGCAGGCAGCGGGCACTCACGCCAACATGATGCCCACGCCGGGGCTCTCATCGATGACCACGATCCCGTAGCGGTCACAGAGTTGCAGCACCTCCTCCGCGTAGGGGTAGTGGCTGGTGCGGAAGGAGTTGGCGCCCAGCCAGCGAAGCAGGTTGAAGTCCTTCACCAGCAGCGGCCAGTCAAAGCCCTTCCCTCGGATCTGGGGGACAGCAGAGATGGGTGAGCCCCTGCCCTCGACCCCATCCCAGACACATTTCCTCCGAGAGTTGGGCCCCCCAGAGTTACCCCATCAGCCCGCTCTCCAGGCCAAGCACAGGCAGTGGTTTGGGGCGGTTTGCTCTGAGCTGCCCTCAGCCACTCCAGGGGCTGCGGGGAAGGGGATGGTGAGCAACAGGGACCCAGGAGCCCCTACTCACATCTGCATCCTCATGCTTGTTGACCCCTTGGAAATAGAACGGCTTCCCATTGATGAGGAACTGTCTCTCGGTGATGGCCACGGTGCGGATCCCCACGGGGAGGGTGTAGAAGTCAGACACGGGCCCCACAGCCGTCTGCGCCGTCAACTTCACCTGCGAAAGCCGAGCACTGGGTGTGAGGCAGCCTGACCGGCCTGAGCCCCACGCAGCCTGGGCTTCGCAGGACAGCCCCTGGCAAACCACGGCGGCCCACCTCTGGGGCTGCAGGTGGAGAGAGGCAGAAATTACATCTGCCGTGAGCAAGAAGAAACTTTTGCCCACACTGCCCCGGGGCCTCCTCTTCCAACTCGGCCTGCCCACCAAGGGCTGAAAAAATCAGGCTGGGGACTCTTCAATCCAACAGCCCAGGAAGCTGAGGGGACCAGGCCTGCTGAAGCTAGGGCTGCTGGATGGGGCAAATGGCCTCCCCCAGCCCAATCCTCACCACCATTACCTCCAACGAATACAGGTAGGCAGGGTGCTCATGCATCAGGTACGGCCACCAGAGGTGGGCATTGGGCACCTGCAGCTGGCCCTGGGCCCCTGCCCCCTTGGCCACGACTTTGCCTTCCTCATCCAGAAGACCCACGTCCAGTTGGAAGTGGTCACTGCCCTGGACGACGATCTGGTAATTCACCAGCCCTACAGGAGACAGGAGATTAGATGAGAGAGAAGAGGGGGGCATGTGACCTGGGGTCCTACAGGTGAGAGCACCCTGAGGAGGTGGGTGGGAGAGCCTGTCTCCAAGGGGATCTTTCCAAACAGGGAACCAAGCCACTCTGGGCCTGGCTGAGGGCAGATCCTGGCAGGAGCCTCACCGATGTCTTGATCCATGTCGGTGGTGACGGTAATGTCATCGATGTAGGTGGTAGGTGTGGTGTAGAGGAGCACAGTCCGATGCAGTCCCGCGTAGTTGAAGAAGTCAAACTTTATGTTCTGGACAAAGTAACCCTTGGGGTACCTAGGACAGAGCAAGGGGACAGTGGCCTTGTCCCGAATCCTTCAATCTCAACTCACATGTCTCCCTGGCCTCCCAGAGCCAGGGCCTCACCTCTGCTAAAGCTGCCCTGTCCCCTGGTGGGCAGACGTCTGGGCAGGGTGGGGAGTGGGGGCGGGGGGTGGGCAAGGTGCTGCTCACATGGAGGGGTCCGTCTTGTAGAGGATGGTCCCCGGCGGCAGGGTGTGGGGGGACAGCGTGTTGTTGATGGCGATGGTGATACGGCAGGAGGACAGGGGCCCGCTCTGGACCAGCTTGCTGATGTCAGCCTCGAAGGGGAGATGGCCCCCCTCATGCTCTGCCACGTGGACCCCATTCACCCACTGCAGATACAAGGAGACAAGCCGGGGGTGGAGGGCGGGGGGTGGGGGGGAGCCGGCCGTTTCCAGCACGCCCTCACACACAAGTGCAGGATGGGGAAGCAGGCAGAGCGGGCGGGCTGAGGGTTCTGCCAGCTGCCACTGACCTCGGGAGTGGAAGAATAGGGCTCCAGGGGAATAGACAAGACCACCCTCCTCCACCCAGGGCACAAACTCCAGTGTGGGGCCTTAAATGTGCCCCCGCCCCCCACCCTGCAACCCCAGAGGCAGGCACCGCAGGACAGCCTGCCCCCTGCCCCGCCCCACGCCCGGCCACCCGCCCTGCCTGCCGCCCGCTGCACTGACCACGATGGCATAGTAGTGGGCGCTGCCAATCCTCAGCACCACTCTCATGCCCAGGTCCTCGGTCCACCGCTGGGGCAGGGTGATCTCCCGTTCATACCACACCCAGCCGACAAAACTCCGCAGCTGCCCGTCCTGGCCCACGTCGTTGAAACTTGAGGGCACCGGCATGTCCAGAGTAGGGCCTGACTGAGGAGACCAGGGCAGGAATCAGGTCCAGAACACCCAGGAAACTAAGGTGCCAGGTCCCCCAGCAATTCCGCCTGCAGGACAAAGCTGGACAAAATGACTTCTCCCCAGGGTCTTTCCTGGTGGCCCAGCAATAAGGAATCTGCTTTGCAATGCAGGGAACACAGGTTTGATCCCTGATCTGGGAAGATTCCACATGCTACAGGGCAATTAAGCCCAAGGACCACAACTAAGGCTGGATGCATGTTAAAATATTAAAAAAGAAAAAAAAAAAGACTTCTCCCAGACCCTCCCAGATTCCAGACCACCCTACCATCAACTCACCAATGTCTTTAATGGACTCATTTAATTTTTACGACTCCATGAAGCAGACCCAGTCACTCACTCAATCAAGGGTGCACCGGGAACACGACATGGTGCTCTAGGCGCTGGGAACAGAGCACCGGACAAGGTCTCTGCTGTCAGTGAGCAGCTCTATGCAGAGAGGGTGCAGAGGGGCAGGGAGCTACCCTGGGGTCCGGGGAGGCCTTTGGGGGCCAGGGCCCATGAGATACAACCTCTGGACATCCTGGCAGAACCTGAGCCCCACAGAGAACCCTTTGAACTTCTTGACCCTTGAACACCTCAGGAAGAAGGCAAGGCAGTAGCAGACAGATAGCTCAGTGAGTCTGGAAGCAGATTGGGGAAAAGCTTCCTGAAGACACAGATGAGACACAGGAGCTCGGAGGAGGCGGGATTCCCTGTCCCTCACAGCTGTATGCCCAGCGGCTGGCCCAAGCCCGGCCACACAGTGAGGACCCAGTAAATACTGACTGAATGAATGGATAACTTTCTGATGACACCAACAGCCAGGATGCTTTGTGTCCGAGGTCTGGTGGGAGCAGAAGTTCTTAGGGCAGAGGGCACCCGCGTTTTCATGGAAAGGGGTGTGCCCAGGGCCACAGCCAGCCTGGGGCAAGAAGGATATCCAGAAATCAGACCCTGACTTAAGAGGAAGATGATCAACTGACTGCCACAGGAAAGAAGGCTGGCCGGGGAGCAGGGGCCGCTCTGGAAGGAAACTGTGAGTGGGGCACGTGCCCGGCTCCCCCACCCCTTTCCTCCTCTGATGAGGACTGAGCGGCAAAGACTGAAAAAAGAGGATGTAAGAGAGGTGACCGTTGGATGCTCACGGCCGATCCCCGCCCCAGTTCTCAGCCCACCCGACCCAAATCAAAAGGGGAGACCTAGAAAGGGGGGCTCGGCTGGATGCCAAGCCCCGTTCTCTACCTAAACCTTAGAACCCAGAGTCCTTCCTGCCAGGACAAAGGTGCGGCCCCAAAATATCCAAAGACTCCCCTCCAGCCACGGGGCGGCCACCGGCCCTAGCTCGCGGCAGGGACACTGCTCCGGCTCCGCCTCCCCTACCGAAGTCCGGCCCGCCCATTTCCTCCTGCAGGTCATTCTCCGGGTGGGTCGACCCCACGGCCCCCCAGGGCCGTCCATCAGTTCCAAGGGCACAAGGGAAGGCTCCCCACGCCCCCCACACCGGGCTTCCAGAAGCTCCCCGGCCCCGGCCCAGGTCCCGTCCCCAGAGCGCGCACCTCCCGCAGCGGCGCCCGGTACCACTGCTGCTCGAAGCCCTGGCGCCGGTTGTCGGAGAAGTCGGCGCGGAAGCTCCAGAGGCCGTCCAGTTCCTTGCGCTCCCGCGACCGGCTCTCCCGGGGATAGAGCATCCCGCCCTGCAGCAGCGCCAGCCCGCAGCCCCAGAGCAGAGGGCCGAGCAAGGCCCAGGCGCCCGCCGGTCGCCGGAGCATGGTTGCAGTGCGGCCAGGAGCAGCAGCTGCGGGGCGTCCCCGGCCGCGCGCTGATAACGGGGCCGGGGCGGGGCCTAGAGTCACGTGTCCCGCCCCCGCGCCATCTTGGCCAGTCGGGGCACCCCCTACCTGCGAGGCCCGCGCCCCTCAGGCCGCGACCGGCCCTCCTTCCTGCCCGAGGGCGGCGGCGGCGGAGGGCCCGCGGGGAGCCGGAGCGCCAGCCCGGACCCGGAAGAGCGGAGGTCGTAGGTCGCAGGCTTCCGCACCCGCGGGGGCGCCGCCCTCTTCCACCCCGGCGTCCCCAGCTGCTCGCGCCCAAGGCGGCTCGTCCAGGCCCCCTGAGCCAGAGCCGGACCTGAGAGACTGCCGGGTTCCGCCCCCCACACACCGATTCTTCAAGGAGACCCGCTGGGGACACCCCCACTCGCTTATGCCTGCGGGACACCGGTAAGCTCAGGCGAAGCCTGTATGCCTAGTGGCCCTCCGGCCCGCAGGCGTGATCACCCGGCTCTTAGCCTTGACCCTGGGCCTCCACCAGCGGTCCCCTGGTCCCCGAACCCCTACCCAGGGGCCCTGCGCTCCTTGGCATTGCGGACGGACACATAAAAATACAAGGAGATGGAGTCTATGGCACCAGGATCCTGGCCTGGATGCATTTGTTCCTACAATTACTTGATTTTTAAATTATTAATTTTTGCTCTGATTTCATGTTCACCAAAGCAACCTTCTGGCTTGGACCTTGACACTGTAAACAAAGTAGATCTCAGGACAGTACAAATAAATAAATTGCAAGAATTGGCAAGGCCTAAAAATTTTTTTCCCCAAATGCTTACAATATAAAAATAAGAAAAAGATGCAAAAATTTATACTGTATGATCCTAGTAGTGCTAAAATTAAATCCACACAGCTGTAGATAGATGTGAACTGTTATTATCGGTGTTACAGGTGATTTCCATTTTCTTCTTCATATGTTCTGAGTTTTTGAAAATTTCTGTCATGAACATGCATTAATTTTATAATTAGAAAGAAAACAGTGGGAACTTGCCTGAAGGTCCAGTGGTTAAGACTTCCCTTCCAATGCAGGGGGTGTGGGTTTGATCCCTGGTCAGGGAGCTAGTATCCCCCTACCTGTAGGCCAAAAACCAAAACATAAAACAGAAGCAATAATGTAACAAATTCAATAAAGCCTTCAAAATTTAAAAGAAAAATAGTCCACATTAAAAAAAGAAAAGAAGCCAATGATCTTCTTAAAACTAGCACCTGGGCACCAACAAGTAAAGTTGATCTGCTTCTGTATGTGTGTGTGATACGCGCTCGGTTGCTCAGTCGTGTCCCCCTCTTTCGAACCCCACAGGCTATAGCCTGCCAGGCTCCTATCTTCATGGTACTTGCCAGGCAAGAATACTGGAGTGGGTTGCCATTTTCATCCAAGGGCTTCTTCCTGACTCAGGGATCAAACTGTTGTCTCTTGCGTCTCCTGCCTTGGCAGGCAGATTCTTTCCCATTAGCACCACCAAGAGAGAAACCAGTTACCCTTTGAAGCTCGCAAATGGGCACAAATAAGTAAAGGTTGATCTGCTTCTATAAATTAATAAATTGATTTTCCATGTGAGAGTCAACCTGTATATAATTAGTTGAAAGTTGATTTTCTACTATTTAATAAGAGAACACAGAAAACTTGGTTTCTGAACCCATAACCCTGACAACCAGACCCTGAAGGGTGAAATCCATTGGCCAGTTTCCTTACCTCTTCATTTTGCAGCCATGCATAAACTGAATCTGGAGATGAAGTTCTGGGAGTTTCCAGCAGTGAGAATGGATGAGGTCACCAAAGAACAGAGGGCAGGTGGATAACAGATCCCAAGATTCGCCCTAAGACACCCTATGTTATTAGTGGAGGGGACAAAAAGGAGGAATGAGCAGGTCACCATCTCCTTGAGGATAAATGCAGACCCCTTAGTATAGTCTGTTGTGATCTGACTGGTCCCCCTGATCCCTGGCTCTGAGTTCCAGAACACGCCATGCTTCTGCTGGCTTCTGGGCCCTGGCTTAGGACCTTCGCTCTGTCGGGAAGCCCTTCCACCCTGACGAGTTAACTCTTCCCTCTTCCCCATCACTCTCATTCTTCAAGGATCATTTCAGAAATCTGTTTGTTTTTTAGCAACACCATGTGGCTTTTGGAATGTTAGTTCTTCAACCAAGGATGGAACCGAGGCCCTCAACAGTGAAAGGGCAGAGTCTCAACCATGAGATCACAAAGGAATTCTCTGTTTTTCCAAATACCTTTATCTTCACATCTCGTGGCCTGCGGTTCATTCCCTCCACATGTGCACAGGCCTCAGAGTCACTGAGCAATTTGGTCCTTGGCTCAGGTCACCTCTCCATTGTACCTCCTGTCTCTATCAGTAGCCTTCCCATCCTGGGCCTTTGTTCTGTGACCACCTTGACTTTGTCTACCTTTCCATTACCTGTGGTGACTCATTTATTGGATCATGTTCTAGGTTCTTTTCATTTTCTGTTACCCAAGACTTCTGAGATTCCTCCCAGTCTACCATCTCCTCTAATTTTCATCATCCCCATTTACTCTAAATTTGCTCTTACCAGATCCAAGCTCTGTTTTTCTCTATCCTCCCCACCCTCTTCTTTTTTTTTTTAATGTTTGGTCACACCTGGTGGTATGTGGTATCTTAGTTCCCCAACCTGGGATTGAACCTGTGCCCCCTGCATTGGAAGCAGAGTCTTAACACAGAACTGCCAGGGAAATCCCTGTCCTCCCAATTTTTCTGAATTGAGCTCTCCTCCCCCAGTTTTTCAGCATGAAAGCTATTATAAGACCATACCCTGACTCTCTCAGGGGTCGCCCACCATTCTATAGCTTTTCTTCTGGAACCTCTTCACTCCTATGTCCCCTTTTCTCTTCCTCAGTTGCTGCCACCACCCACTTCACCCTTGGGAGAATCTTCTCCTCCCCAGCCCCCAACCCTGACGGGAATGAAACCAACTTCCTCTCTGCTGCTCGTGAAGGTGGGCACACATGGACTCTTTCTATCCTAAGGATGCGTCTGCACACTCAGAAAGGGGAGACCACGCTAACAATGCAGGGAAGTTACTGAGTTCCATCTCTCATGGGCTCAGGTCTGTATTTGCTGCTTTTCTTTTGAAACTTTCTTCTAGTTACTTATTTTTTAATATTTATTTTTTGTTTATTTGTGCCAGGCCTTTGTTGTGGCGAGTGGGATCTTCATCATTTACTGGGGATCAAACCCACACCCCTTGCAATGCGAGCATGAAGTTTTAGCCACCAGACCACCAAGGAAGTCCCCAGACGTTTCCTTTAAAGATCTGTCAGGGGACTTGCCTGCATTGGCTAGCAGATGGCTAATTCATCTGCCCTCCAGTGAACTGTTGAAAAATCTGAAATGGTCTTGAGGGAGGGAGGGATTCTTCCTTGATAGGTAATTAAGGCCCCTTCCCCCCACCCCCATCACCCAGGGCATTGCTTCTGTCTACAAATTGCTAACTCCAAGCTTTTCCCCCAACTCTAGTTTATTTAACAAGACAACTGACATGTGAACCAGCCTTCAAACTCAGCAAGATCCCAGTAAAGCCCACATCAAGACTGCTGCTCCTCAGTTGCCTTTCACTTCATGCATGGAATACTGGAGAGCCAGAGGAGCAAGCAGGATGTGCCGGAGAGAGACGATGGAACTCCAAGTAGCGGGGGACCAGGGAAGGAGGATACACCCTTGTGTGGAGGGCTGGCTTCCTCAGCCGTTTCCTCCAGGACAACCGTGAGTTCCTCCACAAAGGCAGATTGAAGCCTGAAGCTAAAAGCTTAAGCCGTTGGGCACCTCACTAGCTAAAGCCCCTTCTAAAGTCCTCAGGGGCATGGGAGCGGTTGGTCACGTGGTACAACAGATGCCTCTGGTGCCCCGTGTCCCATCCCCTTTGGCAGCCTCTAATTTCTGTCCAAGCTGAGTTCCCTGCAAATGCAATTACCAATGAGCAATGCCCTGAAAACAGAGGCTCTCCGTCTGCGGGCTCTGAATGGCTCAATTATGCTTCTTCAATAGATCTAAGAAGTGGAGGTGAGAGACATCATCATTCAAAGAGAGATAGGAATCATTGTGTAAGTGTTTCAGCCTTTCCTGCAATAGGAACATTATGTACGATCAAGGTGTGCCCTTGCTTATGCACGTTGATATTAGCTTTTCATTCTTTTTCTGTCTTCCTCTTCCTGCTACCATACTTCTGGGAACATTTTCCAAATCAGTGCCTGTGTGAAATAGACCTTTGTCTTCGAGTTTCTCTGCTGGTCCAGTGGGGAAGACTCAGCCCTTCCACTACACAGGGTATGGGTTCCATCCCTGGTTGAAGAACTAAGATTCTACATGCTGCACTGGGTGGCCAAAATAATACTAGGCCTTTGTCCTCAGCTGTGCTTTCAAGTAAACCCAACTGGAAGTGGCTCTGGGAAGTCAACCCTTAGAACAGGATTCTGGAACTAGACAACCTTTCGTCATTCAGCAACAAGTACCCTACTTGTCACTCTGGTTAGTGGAGGGCGTAGCTCCTGAGGTGCCCTAACACTGGGATCACTAAGATTACCTGTTGTGAATTGAGATAAGGTACAGGTGGAAGGGGGAATAATAGGCCAGGCGATAGAACTGGATGAAACGTGAGTAAGGTTAATTTTAAGGACTGTAATTTTTAAGCTGGCTGTGTTTGCTAAGTTCCCAGAAATAGAATGAAATAGAAATAGAAGAAAAAGAATGACAGGCTGTCTCCAGCCAACTAGTAATCCAGGGCCCAGTGAAGCCAGAAGGCCTACTTGGCACTGTTTACAGAGACCTTTATCTCCTGCAGTTGTAGGAAAACTACTGAAAACTGGGCCTGGCATTTAACCATAAGACGCCAGAGCTTATGACATGAGTCCTATGAGGCTCATAGGGAACGACTGAGAGCAGGACTGATGTGGACCTTGGGATGGTTGAACCTGAACCTCTTGAACCCCAGCTGAAGCCCTATCTTCCTTGAGAGTGGCTTCCTCATGACAGAAACCACACATGAAGATTTCACTTGAAGGGACTTCCCTGCTAGGCCGGTGGCCAAGACTCCACACTCCCAATGTGGGAGAACCAGGTCCGATCCCTGGTCAGGGAACTAGATCCCGCATGCTGCAACTGAGACCCAGAGCAGACAAATACATAAACTACTAGGTTTAAGAAAAAGGATCTCACCTGAGGGGGCTGCCTCACAGGACATCCTCCTCTAGATCGCAACCCTCCTCCCCTCTGGCCGCAGACCATTAACTGGGTCAGGTCTCAGCACAGGATGAGCAGGGAGGTACAAGCACTGCTCTGAGCAAAGAGATCAATCGTGGAGCATTGCAGGAGCTGCCTCACGTGTCCTGACAGAAAGGGTGAGCCTGTGAAAGAGCAGAGCTCAGTCTATGAGACCGAAGTGTGGAGGTAGATAGGGAGGGTTTATTGAGAGGGTGGGGCTACAGGTTTGGGACTAGGACATAACATTCTGGAAATACCTGGACTCAGTCCTATGACACTCCTGGGAAGTTTCCTCCAATCGTGATCACAGTGGTGCTGAACTAAATGAGGGGGATGTTGGAACTGCCTTGGAGTATTAACGAAGGTCATGTGGAAGCCCTGGCACCACCCCAACCTCTCCCCCATCCCACCCTCCTAGATGCTAAGCCAGAAGCATCACTCCATCCCCTGCCCCCTTTTAACTGCGGAGTGCAGCCACCTTCCAAGACAGGGTGTGCAGGGCGCTGGTCACCACTGTATCCCCCTCCAGTGCACCTCCATGGCCCCTTCAAAGGTGTCGCTAGGGGGTTCAGTGTCAGGAGCCTTCCAGGGGTGTGCCTGCTACTCACTGTGCCAGCCTGCTTACCTCCTACCCTAATGCCCAGGTACTAGGCCAGAGATGATGACCGCTTGCTACATTGTCACTGGGTGTATATGGGTTGTGGAGGGGAAACAAGGCTAAAAGTTACAGATAAGTACAATTGCAAGCAGATGATTCATGCTTGTTAATACCTAGTCATAATGCAAGATCTTTCCTTACACAGAATAGCCTCAGTAATTGAGAATATGCTCTCATCATTATACATGGGCTTCCCCTGTGGCTCAGCTGTTAAGGAATCCACCTGCAATGCAGGAAACCTGGGCTCAATCCCTGGGTTGGGAAGATCCCCTGGCGAAGGGAAAGGCTACCCACTCTAGTATTCTGCCCTGGAGAACTCCCGGACTGTAGAGTCCTTGGGGTTGTAAAGAGTCGGACACGACTGAGTGACTTTCACTTCACTTTATCATTATACATACACATGTATATACACGCTCACCCTGTTTTCTTTTTCGGAAGGCATATGTAATAGAATTTATTCCAATGCCTGTGTCTGTAGGGTACAAACCTGTGCCAGTACTTTAAACAGAGATTGTGTCATTCTGTGAACTCACACCCCAGTGTATCAGCTCCGCCTTAGCATTGCTTGTGCATCTTGTTCTGGAAGGTCTTGTACTTCCAAACAAAATAACTTGTGCTAAATTGCTCTCAGTAGAGCAGAATGGCCTGAAGAAACAGTGACAACACTCTCTCAGGCAAGGACTTGTTCTCACAGTGAGCCCTCCTCTGGCACGGGCACTATTTGCCCTGCTATTGAACCACTGAATGCAATGTCCAATGTTTGTTACGCAGCCGTGTCCAACTCTTGTGACCCCACGGACTGTAGCTGGCAAGGCTCCTCTTTCCATGGGACTTGCCAGGCAAGAATACTTGAGTGGGTTGCCATTTTCATCCAAGGGCTTCTTCCTGACTCAGGGATCAAACTGTTGTCTCTTGCGTCTCCTGCTTTGGCAGGCAGATTCTTTCCCATTAGTACCACCAAGAGAGAAACCAATTACCCTTTGAAGCTCACAAATGGGCACAAATAAGTAAAGGTTGATCTGCTTCTATAAATTAATAAATTGATTTTCCATGTGAGAGTCAACCTGTATATAATTAGTTGAAAGTTGATTTTCTACTGTTTGATAAGAGAACACAGAAAATTTCGTTTCCAAACCCATGACCCTAACAACCAGACCCTGAAGGGTGAAATCCATTGGCCAGTTTCCTTACCCCTTCAGTTTGCAGCTGTACATAAACTGAATCTGGAGATGAAGTTCTGGGAGTTTCCAGCAGTGAGAATGGATGAGGTAACCGAAGATCACAGGGCAGGTGAATAACAGATCCCAAGAGTTGCCCAAGGCACCCTATGTTATGAGTGGAGGAGACAAAGAGGAGGAATGAGCAGGTCACCATCTCCTTGAGGATAAATGCAGACCCCTTAGTATAGTCTGTTGTGGTCTGACTGGCCCCCCTGATCCCTGGCTCTGAGTTCCAGAACACGCCATGCTTCTGCCGGCTTCTGAGCCCTGGCTTAGGACCTTCGCTCTGTCGGGAAGCCCTTCCACCCTGACGAGTTAACTCTTCCCTCTTCCCCATCACTCTCATTCTTCAGGGATCGTTTCAGAGATTTTTGTTTGTTTTTTAGCGACACCATGTGGCTTTTGGAATGTTAGTTCTTCAACCAAGGATGGAACCGAGGCCCTCAACAGTGAAAGGGCAGAGTCTCAACCATGAGATCACAAAGGAATTCTCTGTTTTTCCAAATACCTTTATCTTCACATCTCGTGGCCTGCGGTTCATTCCCTCCACATGTGCACAGGCCTCAGAGTCACTGAGCAATTTGGTCCTTGGCTCAGGTCACCTCTCCATTGTACCTCCTGTCTCTATCAGTAGCCTTCCCATCCTGGGCCTTTGTTCTGTGACCACCTTGACTTTGTCTACCTTTCCATTACCTGTGGTGACTCATTTATTGGATCATGTTCTAGGTTCTTTTCATTTTCTGTTACCCAAGACTTCTGAGATTCCTCCCAGTCTACCATCTCCTCTAATTTTCATCATCCCCATTTACTCTAAATTTGCTCTTACCAGATCCAAGCTCTGTTTTTCTCTATCCTCCCCACCCTCTTCTTTTTTTTTTTAATGTTTGGTCACACCTGGTGGTATGTGGTATCTTAGTTCCCCAACCTGGGATTGAACCTGTGCCCCCTGCATTGGAAGCAGAGTCTTAACACAGAACTGCCAGGGAAATCCCTGTCCTCCCAATTTTTCTGAATTGAGCTCTCCTCCCCCAGTTTTTCAGCATGAAAGCTATTATAAGACCATACCCTGACTCTCTCAGGGGTCGCCCACCATTCTATAGCTTTTCTTCTGGAACCTCTTCACTCCTATGTCCCCTTTTCTCTTCCTCAGTTGCTGCCACCACCCACTTCACCCTTGGGAGAATCTTCTCCTCCCCAGCCCCCAACCCTGACGGGAATGAAACCAACTTCCTCTCTGCTGCTCGTGAAGGTGGGCACACATGGACTCTTTCTATCCTAAGGATGCGTCTGCACACTCAGAAAGGGGAGACCACGCTAACAATGCAGGGAAGTTACTGAGTTCCATCTCTCATGGGCTCAGGTCTGTATTTGCTGCTTTTCTTTTGAAACTTTCTTCTAGTTACTTATTTTTTAATATTTATTTTTTGTTTATTTGTGCCAGGCCTTTGTTGTGGCGAGTGGGATCTTCATCATTTACTGGGGATCAAACCCACACCCCTTGCAATGCGAGCATGAAGTTTTAGCCACCAGACCACCAAGGAAGTCCCCAGACGTTTCCTTTAAAGATCTGTCAGGGGACTTGCCTGCATTGGCTAGCAGATGGCTAATTCATCTGCCCTCCAGTGAACTGTTGAAAAATCTGAAATGGTCTTGAGGGAGGGAGGGATTCTTCCTTGATAGGTAATTAAGGCCCCTTCCCCCCACCCCCATCACCCAGGGCATTGCTTCTGTCTACAAATTGCTAACTCCAAGCTTTTCCCCCAACTCTAGTTTATTTAACAAGACAACTGACATGTGAACCAGCCTTCAAACTCAGCAAGATCCCAGTAAAGCCCACATCAAGACTGCTGCTCCTCAGTTGCCTTTCACTTCATGCATGGAATACTGGAGAGCCAGAGGAGCAAGCAGGATGTGCCGGAGAGAGACGATGGAACTCCAAGTAGCGGGGGACCAGGGAAGGAGGATACACCCTTGTGTGGAGGGCTGGCTTCCTCAGCCGTTTCCTCCAGGACAACCGTGAGTTCCTCCACAAAGGCAGATTGAAGCCTGAAGCTAAAAGCTTAAGCCGTTGGGCACCTCACTAGCTAAAGCCCCTTCTAAAGTCCTCAGGGGCATGGGAGCGGTTGGTCACGTGGTACAACAGATGCCTCTGGTGCCCCGTGTCCCATCCCCTTTGGCAGCCTCTAATTTCTGTCCAAGCTGAGTTCCCTGCAAATGCAGTTACCAATGAGCAATGCCCTAAAAACAGAGGCTCTCCGTCTGCGGGCTCTGAATGGCTCAATTATGCTTCTTCAATAGATCTAAGAAGTGGAGGTGAGAGACATCATCATTCAAAGAGAGATAGGAATCACTGTGTAAGTGTTTCAGCCTTTCCTGCAATAGGAACATTATGTACGATCAAGGTGTGCCCTTGCTTATGCACGTTGATATTAGCTTTTCATTCTTTTTCTGTCTTCCTCTTCCTGCTACCATACTTCTGGGAACATTTTCCAAATCAGTGCCTGCGTGGAATAGACCTTTGTCTTGGGGCTTCTCTGCTGGTCCAGTGGGGAAGACTCAGCCCTCCCACTACACAGGGTGTGGGTTCCATCCCTGGTTGAAGAAGTAAGATTCTACATGCTTCATAGGGTGGCAAAAATAATACTAGGCCTTTGTCTTCAGCTCTGCTTTCAAAAAACCAGCTGGAAGTGTTGCAGAAACCAGTACTCGAGAAACCAAGCACCACACTCGGAGAGTTGGAGAACTCAAGTTTATTACGCCAGCGGGCCCAGAGGGGTTAGCACTCCAAGCTCTGAGCCCTGAAGAAAGGAATTACAGGGTTTTTTAGACTATAGTGGGCAACACTAACTCTCAATAGGCTGGTTAAAACTAAGCGGTTTGCATGCGCAGGAACACTGGTCCAGGTGGGAAGGGGGATGCCTGACCTGGACAGGCATGATTAAGCAGGTTTGCAAGCCCTGGGCAAATGCAAAGATCAAGACGAGTGAGTGAGATAAACTCCAGTTCCTAGTATTGCAAATCCGCACTTTCTGAGACTATGTGACCTACATGATCTAGACTTTGCAAGGGGTAAGCTGAGTTACAGAGGCAGAAGGAGAAGGAGGTTATGTAAAATTTTAACTTTTCCTCTTCGTTCTCCCCTCTTGATGCTTCTTTCTATCACTCGTTGTAGAAAGCGTCATCTCATGTTTTTGGCAGGACACTCAGAGCTCCCCATCGTTTAGGGGGCTGTATTGAACTATTACCATTTGTAACTTTACGGATTCAATCTGAGAGGTTATGAACCGGGTAATTGCATTGAGAATGCAAGGCCCAAACAAGAGCACTGCAAAGAGCATGAAGAGAGGACCTGTTATAGGGAGAAATCATGATGCCCCACTCCAGATATTGCTCTAATTACCCCACGAATTAGCTAGTTTTTCTCTCCTTTTTATGATTTGTTCCCTTAGCTGTTGGGCCCTGTCCCTGAGTATTTCTGATTGGTTTATATAAAAGCAGCATTCTTCATTCAAGAAAAGGCAGAGTCTTCCCTTTTCTGCTGTCAGTAGGTCTAGCCCTCTCCTGTTTTGTAAAACCACTTCAGCCAGGGAGTCTAATTGCTCCTGTAAGGCCACTAAAGATTTGGCCACTCTCTCAGTGTCGTCTGTGAAGTCTTTGGATAGTGTATGGTAAAAGGTGGTTGATGAAGCAAATCCTCCTATTTCCATACCTAGCCCAGCCGTGAGTCCCAGACCAACTAGTAGGGGTATAAACTGGATGGCTCTTTTTGACCACGTATGTGCTGCCAGAGGTACGATGAGAGTCTGGTTGTTAGGGACAATGTTCATCTGGGGAGTGAGGAAAGCTAAGCTGCAGATACCCATCTAATTGACAGGTAGACATAAGTAAGAATCTGTCCCACAGACAAAGAAGAGGCCTTGATGGGGCGGTACCGTCTGTTACAGCAAGGGACACCGAAAGGCTGTAGATAAAGCAGCCTGAATGTAACAGATGACTGAACACCAGCAAAAGGTTTTCTCCCCATCTCTGGGTTGTCACGGCTGTAGCAACTGAGCCTATTGTGAAGGGGGGTCAGCTATACTGTGGGGCAGTTTAGTTAGTAGGGAGAAAAGATCATAAGAGACACTTAATAAGAATGAGGCTTCCCACTACAGTGAGATAACAGACAGCTAACTGCAGCTTCTGACCCAAATCCCAGTCCTGGGGTGCAACTAAAGCTAGTCCTGTAGCAAAGAGCACAAAAATAATAGCAATTAGGGATAGAGTCCAGGGTTGACAATGAAAATCCATTGATGTTTTGATAGCTGGATCCTCACGCTTCAGCCGTGCATTAACCACCCAGCCAGCTGCCGGAGCGTGGCTGGAGCAAGGCTGAAGAATCCTCAAGCTTCTGCCATGCATTGACTAGTCAGCTCCCGGAGTGACTAGAGCAGGGCTTAGAATCCTTCTAGGGTCAGGGTCGTTGTTTTTGGAACCAGACCTTGAGGGGATTTTTGGGATCCTGAACTGCTTTCCAGGTGTTCTCATTATAGGGAGCTGCTGCCTTCTTGACTCTGGTGTGGTGGATCCAAGGGATGACACCCATAACTCATCTCCTGGCTGATACGGATGAACCCACTTGCCCAGTGGAATGGGTGTCCTTTCTCAGGTTTCTCAGGCAATATGGCAGAAGACTTTCCCAGGACCTGGAGGTGTTGGGACATCTCCAGGTCAGCTAGTTGTTGGTGATCTCCCTTGAGCTTTTTTTATCACTGGGGGTGGTCTCCCGTATGAGATCTCAAAGGGAGAGTAGCAGCCTGAGGACCTTGGGGTGCATTTACGGAGGCCAATGAGAGTCCACAGAATAAAGCAGCTTGTTCTAGATTTGTCTGGGCGTTGGCCGGAGGATATGCTTGTCGTACTACTACTGCTTGGAGAAACAAACTTAACAAGAAAGTTAAAGATATTATGGCTCAAAGATTAATAGAAGTAGGAATGCTTCTGAGGCTCTAGCTAGGAGAACCAGGTCCAGACATTGGTTCATGACATTAGTGTTTCTCTAGGCATGAGACGATGCAAGAATTTGGACTCATTAAAAATTTTTATCTGAAAACATCTGACTATCTGAAGGCCTTTTTTTCTGGGTTTTCCCAGAGTAGAGTGCCTTATTTTTTGTCTCCACCCTAAAGTCCTTTCAAGGGGATGTTGAAGGTCAACATCTTATAGTAGTCATGATTTAATCTTTGTAGAGGCAGCTGGCAAGGGCCAGCTTCCAGTCAGCAGGGCCCCTTCATAGCCACATATTTGACCATGTTTTGGGGCATTTCAAGGTCATTGTGTCCCATGGTGCTGGGAAGGCTCATTCCCAGGTCTAACAAAGATTCCATTGACAGGCCACTCAATGTGTTGTCACTAGACCAGGCCTTGTAAGTAGCAAAAGTCTTTGGACCATACCTGTCTTACTAGCCTCTTGGTCCAGGAAAATATTTCCTCTTGTTGCTTCTTCCCATAGAGTTACATTATTACAGTTATTGATCTCATATGGAACTGCATATCAGCATTTTATCACAGGCTCAGTCACACCTTTGGTAACATAAGAAATAATCTTCTGAAACAAGCTACATAGAACATAATATAGCTAGCAGTTATTAGTAAGGTCACAAGCAAGAATTTAAGTCAGCTTTCATTGCATATAGTCTGGTATACCCCAGGTCATCTGTCTCAGTTAAATGATTGTATCCAGGTGTTAATCTCCTGATTGTACCTCATGGAGCATCTGAGCTTTATTCAAAGACTGGTTACTGAGATAAGCTTTAGAAACCATCTTAAGAGTGTCCTTTTTAATAACTTAATTAAACCTTTTAGCAATATAACATAACAAGGAACTAGCTCAGAAGTGAGTCTTAGTAAGCACAGACCTTAATTAACAAAACTAGAACTTAATATTTAGTGAAACATAATGTTTTCTTGTTTAGAGAAATCATTCTGAAGGCATTAACACTGTAGCCAGGTAAGGCTTTAACCCATCAAATAAAAATGAGGTCCGTCAGGGAGCCAGGAAAAGCCAAGCAGCCATCTTGGATTTCCCCTAGCCCTGGCTGTTTGATTTTTAGCTGTTGTTTGTTTATTTTTAATTTCCTGATTTAAGAGCAGACTATCACCATGTTTTAAGGACATCAAGATAGCAAAAGTCTAACTATGAGGGATTATTTTTTGTAGAAGCAGAATGAGCTTTGTCTACATGTACCATAATCTTAAATAATGTTTATTTAGTTTACCAAAGTAATTTTTTCTTTTTTGGAGAACTCATTGTGAGGGCATTAACACTGTAGCCATAGTTAACAAAAGATTTTAAAGGTAAATATAGAACAGATCAATTGAGGGGTTAAAAAAAAAACTTAAATCTATTATTAAAAGCAGTTCAACATCTGAAGAAAGTATGTCCTCTTAACAGAGAGAAAGGCCGAATTAAAATTTTTGCACCAGCTTACTTTAAACTCATTTAGGTAAACATAATTAAATTTATTTTAAACTTAGTCCTAACCATGCACAAAACTTTTTTTTCAGACTTCACCTTCCAGAATCTTTTTAATCACTCTCTGTAACAGCCACCTGTAAGTCAGACCTACTTTCTTTTCCCTTTATAAAATGCAATTTTATTTTTTATATCTTCTTTATTAAAAACATACATCCTACTTTATTAGATAAGCAAACAAACATTAATACTAGGTATTTAATATTGAATATTTTCCAGTCCATATGAATCTGAAATTTATTTAATTTTTCTTTTATTGTTTGTATTGTATTGTTTGATTCATAAGCGCTCACTTTTCTTTAGGCCAATTAAATTAGAACTCATTTACAACGTCCCTTCAACAATATTATCAGAAAAAAGACATAAACTGAGATATACATAAATCCAGACAGACAGACTGACAGAGATCTTACAGTTTTCTGTTTGAGATTTAAAATATCTCTTTGACCCCCCTTTTTTTCCTTCACTTGAAGTTCTAATTTCCCCAAGGCTAAGGTCTCAGGCAAAGCTGGCTGTGTATTTCAGGGACATGGGAAGGGTTAACTTCAAGCTTTTCCCTGGGCAGGCCTTTTAACAAGTTAGTTGTTTTTATTGTATATGCCAAAAGAATTGGCTTTGTAGTTTCCAAAAAGTTTCTCTCCATTCAGTCAGCACACAACTCAACAATCATTCAGAGGCTATCACAATGCCATCCTTCTCCTGAGTCCCCAGGGTTCCTTAGCTGTTGCTCCCTTCCTGGGAGCTCCAAGAAGGTTATCAGTCACGATGCCTCCCTTCCTCCCAAGTCCCAGGTCTCCTTTTCTGATGCTCCCTTCCTGGGAACCCAAGGAGGCGATTAGTCTCCTCTTCTACCCGTTGGGGTAGGTTCCTGCCTGGGGACTGGCCCCGGAGCCTTACCTTATCCTGTGGCCCTTCCTGGTGAGTTGGTCCGTCCCTCCAATGAGTCCAGTTGGGGCTTGGCCAATGAAGAATTGGAACACCGGTCTGAAAGAGAACCCGGAATACCATCAGGTTTCGCGCCTCTTCCTTCGTCTCGGGGTTCCTTTGCTTCAGCGTGGCCCAACCACCAGTCCGGTAGCTCAAGGGGCCGGTGTGGTTGGAATCTCGCTGGGGCCTCCAGAAATGTTGCAGAAACCAGTACTCGAGAAACCAAGCACCACACTGGGAGAGTTGGAGAACTCAGGTTTATTACGCCAGCGGGCCCAGAGGAGTTAACATTCCAAGCTCTGAGCCCCACCCAAAGGGATTATAGAGTCTTTATAGACAGACTATAGTGGGCAACACTAGCCGTTAATAGGCTGGTTTAAACTAAGGGATTTCATGTGTGCAAGAGCAGTGGTCAAGATGGGAAGGGGGATGCCTGACCTGGACAGGCTTGATTAAGCAGGTTTGCAGGGGCTGGGCGATTACAAACAGCAGGACAAGGGTGAATGAGATAAGCTCCAGTTCCTAGTATTGCAAGTCCCGATTTTCTGAGACTACATGACCTACGTGATCTAGACTTTGCAAGGGGCAAGCTGAGTTATAGAGGCAGAAGGAGAAGGAGGCTTTGTAAAATGTTAATTTTTCCTCTTGGGAAGTGGCTCTGGGAACTCAGCCCTTAGAACAGGATTCTGGAACTAGCCAACCTTTGCAGTCTTTCAGCAACAGGGCCCTCCTGTCAGTCCAGTGAGTGGAGGGCGTAGCTCCTGAGGTGCTGACGCTGGGGTCACTAAGATTACCTGTTGTGAATTGAGATAAGGTACAGGTGGAAGGGGAAATAACAGGCCCGGCAATAGAACTGGAATGAAATGTGAGTAAGGTTAATTTTAAGGACTGTAATTTTAAGCTGGCTGGGTTTGCTAAGTTCCCAGAGACTTCAGGGAAAGGAATGACAGGCTGTCTCCAGCCAACTAGCAATCCAGGGCTCAGTGAAGCCAGAAGGCCTACTTGGCACTGTTTACAGAGATCTTCATCTCCTGCAGTTGTAGGCAAACTGGACTAAAACTGGGCCCGGTATGTAACCATAAGCCTCCAGAGCTTATGATGTGAGTCCTATGAGGCTCATAGGGAAGGATTGAGAGCAGAACTGATGTGGACTTTGGGGTGGTTGAACCTGAATCTCTTGAACCCCAGCTTTACCTGAATCCTCTAACCAGTTAAAGAAGCCCTACCTGCCTTGAGAGTGGCCTCCTTTTGACAGAAACCACAAGTGAAGATCTCACCTGAGGGACTTCGCTGCTGGTCAAGTGGCCAAGACTCCATGCTCCCAATGTGGGAAAACTGGGTCCGATCCCTAGTCAGGGAACTAGATCCCACATGCTGCAATTAAGACCCAGAGCAGACAAATACATCAACAACTTGGTTTAAGAAAAAGGATCTCACCTGAGGGGGCTGCCTCACAGGACGTCCTCCTCTAGATCACATCCCTCCTCCCCTCTGGCCCCAGACCATTAACTGGGTCAGGTCTCAGCACAGGATGAGCAGGGAGGTACAAGCACTGCTCTGAGCAAAGAGCTCAACTGTGGAGCATTGCAGGAGGTGCCACACGTATCCTGACAGAAAGGGTGAGCCTGTGAAAGAGCAGAGCTCAGTCTATGAGACTGAACTGTGGAGGTAGATAGGGAGGGTTTATTGAGAGGGTGGGGCTACAGGTTTGGGACTAGGACATAACATTCTGGAAATACCTGGACTCAGTCCTATGACACTCCTGGGAAGGTTCCTCCAATCGTGATCACAGTGGTGCTGAACTAAATGAGGGGGATGTTGGAACTGCCTTGGAGTATTAACGAAGGTCATGTGGAAGCCCTGGCAGCTCCCAATCTGCCCCCCATCCCACCCTCCTAGATGCTAAGCCAGAAGCAGCACTTCATCCCCTGCCCCCATTTAACTGCGGAGTGGAGCCACCTTCCAAGACAGGGTGTGCAGGGCGCTGGTCACCACTGTATCCCCCTCCAGTGCACCTCCATGGCCCCTGGAAAGTTGTTGATGGTCGGGCCAATGTCAGGAGCCTTCCAGGGGTGTGCCTGCTACTCACTGTGCTACCCTGCTTACCCACTACCATGAGGCCCAGGTGCGGGGCCAGAGATGACCGCTTGCTACATTGTCACTGGAAGTATATGGGTTGTGGAGGAGAAACGAGGCCAGAAGTTACAGGTAAGTACAATTACAAGTAGATAATTCATGCTTGTTGATCCCTAGTCATAATGCAGGATCTTTCCTTACATAGAATAGCCTCAGTAACTGAGAATACACTCTCATCATTATACATGGGCTTCCCTTGTGGCTTAGCTGGTAAGGAATCCTCCTGCAATGCAGGAGACATGGGCTCAATCCCTGGGTTGGGAAGATCCCCTGGCAAAGGGAAAGGCTACCCACTCCAGTATTCTGGCTGGAGAATTCCATGGACTGTAGAGTCTATGGGGTCGTAAAGAGTCAGACACGACTGAGCGACTTTCACTTCACTTTATCATTATACATACATATGTATATACACACACACCCTGTTTTCTTTTCCGGAAGGTATATGTAATAGAATTTATTCCAATGCCTGTGTCTGTAGGGTACAGACCTGTGCCAGCACCTTAAACAGAGATTGTATCATTCTGTGAACTCACATCCCAGTGTATCAGCTCTGCCTTAGCATTGCTGGTGCTTCTTGTTCTGGAATGTCTGGTGCTTCCAAACGAAATAGTGTACTAAATTGCTGTCAATAGAGCAGAATGGCCTGAAGAAACAGTGACAACACTCTCTCAGGCAAGGACTTGTTCTCACAGTGAGCCCTCCTCTGGCATGGGCACTATTTGCCCTGCTGTTGAATCTCTAAATGCAATGTCCAATGTTTGTCACACAGCCATGTCTGACTCTTGTGACCCCACGAACTGTAGCCCGCCAGGCTCCTCTGTCCATGGGATTTCCCAGGCAAGAATACTGGAGTGGGTTGCCATATTAATGCAAGCACATCTTCCTGACCCAGGGATCAAACCCTCGTCTCCTGTGTCTCCTGCTTTGGCAGGCAGATTCTTTCCCATTAGCACCACCAAGAAAAAAAACGGCTGTTTTAAAGCTCACAAATGGGCACAAATAAGTAAAGGTTGATCTGCTTCTATAAATTAACAAACTGATTTTCCATTTGAGAGTCAACCTGTATCCTTAATTAGTTGAAAGTTGATTTTATACTGTTTGATAGAGATCAGAGAAAACTTGGTTTCTGAATGCATGTCCCTGAAAACCAGACCCTGAAGGGTGAAGTCCATTTGCCAGTTTCCTTACCCCTTCATTTTGCAGCCGTGCATAAACTGAATCTGGAGATGAAATGTTGGGAGTTCCTAGCAGTGAGAATAGATGAGGTCACCAAGGAAAGGAGGGCAGGTGGATAACAGATCCCAAGATTCGCCCTAAGACACCCTGTGTTATGACTAGAGGGGACAAAGAGGAGGAATGAGCAAGTCACCATCTCCTTGAGGATAAATGCAGACCCCTTAGTACAGTTTGTTGTGGTCTGACTGGTCCCCCTGATCCCTGGCTCTGAATTCCAGAATGTACCATGCTCCTGCTGGCTTCTGGGCCCTGGCTTAGGACCTTCCTCTGTCTGGAAGCCCTTCTGCCCTGACTAGCTAACTCTTCCCTCTCCCCCATCACTGTTATTCTTCAGGGATCAATTCAGAGTTTTGTTTGTTTGATTGAATTTTAGCCGCACCATGTGGCTTTTGGAATCTTAGAACCCCAACCAGGGATGGAATCGAGGCCCTCAACAATGAAAGGGCAGAGTCTGAACCATGAAATCATGAAGGAATTCTCTTTTTTTTCCCAGATACCTTTATGTTCACATCCCGTGGCCTCCAGTTCATTCCCTCCGCATGTGCACAGGCCTCAGATTCACTGAGCAATTTGGTCCTTGGCTCAGGTCACCTCTCCATTGTACCTCCTGTCTCTATCAGTAGCCTTCCCATCCTGGGCCTTTGTTCTGTGACCATCTTGACTTTATCTACCTTTCCATTACCTGTGGTGACTCATTTATTGGATCATTAGATCCTTTTCATTTTCTTTTACCTAAGACTTCTGAGATTTCTCCCAGCCTACCATCTCCTCTAGTTTTCATCATCCCCGTTTACTCTAAATTTGCTCTTACCAGATCCAAGCTCTGTTTTTCTCTATCCTCCCCACCCCTTCTTTTTTTTTTTTAATGTTTGGTCGCACCTGGTGGCACGTGATATCTTAGTTCCCCAACCTGGAATCGAACCTGTGCCCCCTCCATTGGAAGGCAGAGTCTTAACACAGAACTGCCAGGGAAATCCCTGTCCTCCCAATTTTTGTGAAATGAGCTCTCCTCCCCCAGTTTTCCAGCATGAAAGCTATTATAAGACCATACCCTGACTCTCGCAGGGGTCGCCCACCGTTCTATAGCTTTTCTTCTGGAAGCTCTCCACTCCTATGTCCCCTTTTCTCTTCCTCAGTTGCTGCCACCACCCACTTCACCCTTGGGAGAATCTTCTCCTCCCCAGCCCCCAACCCTGATGGGAATGAAACCAACTTCCTCTCTGCTGCTCATGAAGGTGGGCCCACATGGACTCTTTCTATCCTAAGGATGCGTCTGCACACTCAGAAAGGGGAGACCACGCTAACAAACGCAGGGAAGTTACTCAGTTCCATCTTCATGGGCTCAGGTCTGTAGTTGCTGCTTTTCTTTTGAAACTTTCCTCTACTTACTTATTTTTTTAATGTTTGTTTGTTTATTTGTGCCAGGTCTTAGTTGTGGCATGTCAGATCTCACTCCTTGACTGGGGATCCCACCCCCTGCATTGGGAGCATGAAGTCTTAGCCACCAGACCACCAGGGAAGTCCCCAAACCTTTTCTTTCAAAATCTGTCAGAGGACTTGCCTGCATTAGCCAGCAGATGGCTAATTCATCTACTCTCTGGTGAACTATTAAAAAATCTGAAATGGTCTTGAGGAAGGGATTCTTCCTTGACAGGTAACTAAAGCCACCCCTCCCCACCCAGGGCTTTGCTTCCTGTCTACAAATTGCTAACTCCAGGCTTTTCCCCCCACTCTAGTTTATCTAAAAGACAACTGACATGTAAACCGCCTTCAAACTCAGCAAGATCCCAATAAAGCCCACAGCAAGGCTGGTGCTCCCCAGTTGCCTTTCATTTCACGCATGGAATACTGAAGAGCCAGAGGAGCAGGCAGGATGTGCCTGAGAGACACTGGAACTCCAAGTAGTGGGGGACTAGGGAAGGAGGATACACCCTTGTGTGGAGGGCTGACTGCCTCAGCCATTCCCTCCAGGACAAACGTGAGTTCCTCCAAAGGCAGATTAAAGCCTGAAGCTAAAAGCTTAAGCTTTTGGGCTCCTCACTAGCTAGAACCCCTTCTAAAGTCCTCAGGGGAATGGGAGCATTTGACCACATGGTATGTATCAGATGCCTCTGGTGCTCTGTGTCCCATCCCCTTTGGCAGCCTCTGGTTTCAGTCCAAGCTGAGTTCCCTGAAAATACAATTACCAGTGACCAATCCGTCTGATCACTCACCTAGAACTAGACATCCTGGAATGTGAAGTCAAGTGGGTCTTAGGAAGCATCACTTCGAACAAAGCTAGTGGTGGTGATGAAATTCCAGTTGAGCTATTTCACATCTAAAAGATGATGCTGTGAAAATACTGTACTCAATATGCCAGAAAATTTTGGAAACTCAGCAGTGGCCACAGGACTGGAAAAGATCAGTTTTCATTCCAATCCCAAAGAAAGGCAATTCCAAAGAAAGCTCAAACTATTGCACAATTGCACTCATCTCACACACCCGTAAAGTAATGCTCAAAATTCACCAAGCCAGGCATCAGCAATACATGAACCGTGAACTTCCAGATGTTCAAGCAGGTTTTAGAAAAGGCATAGAGCAACCAGAGAACAAATTGCCAACATCTGCTGGATCATCAAAAAAGCAAGAGAGTTCCAGAAAAACATCTTACTTCTGCTTTATTGACCATGCCAAAGCCTTTGACTGTGTGAATCACAACAAACTGGAAAACTTGGAAAGAGATGGGAATGTCAGACCACCTGACCTGCCTCTTTGAGAAACCTGTATGCAGGTCAGGAAGCAACAGTTAGAACTGGACTTGGAACAACAGACTGGTTCCAAATAGGAAAAGGAGTATGTCAAGGCAGTATATTGTCACCCTGCTTCTTTAACTTACATGCAGAGTACATCATGAGAAATGCTGGGCTGGATGAAGCACAGACTGGAATCAAAACTGACAGGAAAAATATCAATAACCTCAGATATGCAGATGACACCACCTTTATGTCAGAAAGTGAATAAGAACTAAAGAGCCTCTTGATGAAAGTGAAAGAGGAGAGTGAAAAAGTTGGCTTAAAGCTCAACATTCAGAAAACTAAGATCAGGACATTTCGTCCCATCACTTCATGGCAAACAGATGGGGAAACAACCTAAAGAATGGCTGACTTTACTTTTTTGGGCTCCAAATCACAATTGATTTGGAGATGCAGAAGGTGACTGCAGCCATGAAAATTAAATGACACTTACTCCTTGGAAGGAATGTTTTGATGAACCTAAACAGCATATTAACAAGTAGAGACATTACTTTGCCAACAAAGGTCTGTCTGGTCAAGGCAATGGTTTTTCCAGTAGTCATGTATGGATGTGAGAGTTGGACTATAAAGAAAGCTGAGTGGCAAAGAATTGATGCTTTTGAACTATGGTGTTGGAGAAGACTCTGGAGAGTCCCTTGGACTGCAAAGAGATCTAACCAGTCCATCCTAAAGGAAATCAGTCCTGAGTGTTCATTGGAAGGACTGATGTTGAAGCTGAAACTCAACTACTTCGGCCACCTGATGTGAAGAGCTGACTCATTTGAAAAGACCCTGATGCTGGGAAAGATTGAAGGCAGGAGAAGGGGATGACAGAGGATGAGATGCTTGGATGGCATCACCAACTCAATGGACATGAGTTTGGGTAAACTCCAGGATTTGGTGATGGACAGGGAGGCCTGGAAGCTGTGGTCCATGGGGTCGCAAAGAGTTCAACGCAACTGAGTGACTGAACTGAATTGAAACCCCTGAAAACAGAGGCTCACCGCCTGCTGGCTCTGAATGGCTCAATTCTGCCTCTTTAATAGAGCTGAGAAGTGGAGGTGAAATGAGTATTAATAATCTAGAGACATCATCATTCAAAGAGAGATAGGAACCATTGTATAAGTGTTTCAGCCTTTCCTGCAATAGGATGGAAATCTGGCAGACATTATGTACTATCAACATGTGACCTTGATTATGCACTTTGATATAAGCTTTTCATTCTTCTCTATCTTCCTCTTCCTGCTACCATACTTCAGGGCACATTTTCCAAATCGGTGCCTCCATGGAATAGGCCTTTTTCCTGGGGCTTCTCTGCTGATCCAGTTGGGAAGACTCAGCCCTTCCACTACACAGAGTGCGGGTTCCATTCCTGGTTGAAGAACTAAAATTCTACATGCTTCACAGGGTGGCCAAAATAACAATAGTAATTATAGGCCTCTGTCTTCAGCTCTGCTTTCAAGAAACCCAACTGGAAGTGGCTCTGGGAAGTTAACCCTTAGAACAGGATTCTGGAACTAGCCAACCTTTGCAGTCTTTCAGCAACAGGGCCCTCCTGTCAGTCCAGTGAGTGGAGGGCATAGCTCCTGAGGTGCTGACGCTGGGGTCACTAAGATTACCTGTTGTGAATTGAGATAAGGTACAGGTGGAAGGGGAAATAACAGGCCCGGCAATAGAACTGGAATGAAATGTGAGTAAGGTTAATTTTAAGGACTGTAATTTTAAGCTGGCTGGGTTTGCTAAGTTCCCAGAAACACTTCAAGAAAAAGAATGACAGGATGTCTCCAGCCAACTAGTAATCCAGGGCCCAGTGAAGCCAGAAGGCCTACTTGGCACTGTTTACAGAGACCCTCATCTCCTGCAGTTGTAGGAAAACTGGACTAAAAATGGGCCTGGTATGTAACCATAAGCCTCCAGAGCTTATGACGTGAGTCCTATGAGGCTCATAGGGAAGGACTGAGAGCAGGACTGATGTGGACCTTGGGGTGGTTGAACCTGAACCTCTTGAACCCCAGCTTTACCTGAATCCTCTAACCAGTTAAAGAAGCCCTACCTGCCTTGAGAATGGCCTCCTCTTGACAGAAACCACAAATGAAGATCTCACCTGAGGGGACTTCCCTGCTGATTCAGTGACCAAGACTCCACACTCCCAATGTGGGAGAACTAGATATGGAGGGTTTATTGAGAATGGGTGAGCCTACTGGTCTGGGACTAAGGACGTAATGTTCTGGAAAGGAGATGCGGACTCAATCCTATGACAATCCTGGGAAGGTTCCTCCAATCCTGATCACAGTGGCGCTGAACTAAATGAGGGGGATGTTGGAACTGCCTTGGAGTTATTAATGAAGGTCATGTGGAAGCCCTGGCACCACCCCAACCTCTCCCCCATCCCACCCTCCTAGATGCTAAGCCAGAAGCATCACTCCATCCCCTGCCCCCTTTAACTGCGGAGTGCAGCCACCTTCCAAGACAGGGTGTGCAGGGCGCTGGTCACCACTGTATCCCCCTCCAGTGCACCTCCATGGCCCCTTCAAAGGTGTCGCTAGGGGGTTCAGTGTCAGGAGCCTTCCAGGGGTGTGCCTGCTACTCACTGTGCCAGCCTGCTTACCCCCTACCCTAATGCCCAGGTGCAGGGCCAGAGATGACGGCTTGCTACATTGTCACTGGGTGTATATGGGTTGTGGAGGAGAAACAAGGCTAAAAGTTACAGATAAGTACAATTGCAAGCAGATAATTCATGCTTGTTAATACCTGGTGATAATGCAGGATCATTCCTTACACAGAATAACTTCAGTAATTAAAAATACACTCTCATCATTATACATGGGCTTCCCTTGAGGCTCAACTGGTAAAGATTCTACCTGCAATGCAGGAGACCTGGGTTCAAATCCTGGGTTGGGAAGATAACCCTGATGAAGGGAAAGGCTACCCACTCCAGTATTCTGGCTGGAGAATTCCATGGACTGCAGCATTCATGGGGTCAGAAAGAGTTGAACATGACTGAGTGACATTCACTTCACTTTATACATACATATGTATATACACACCCTGTTTTCTTTTCTGGAAGATACGTGTAATAGAATTTATTCCAATGCCTGTGTCTGTAGGGTACAAGCCTGTGCCAATACCTTAAGCAGAGGTTGTATCTATTTTGTGAACTCACACCACAGTGTATCAGCTCACATCTTAGCATTGCTGGTGCATCTTGTTTTAGAAATTCTCGTACTTCCAAAGAAAACAGTGTGTTAAATTACTATCAATAGAGTGGAATGCCCTGAAGAAACAGTGACAAAACTCCCTCAGGCAAGGACTTGTTCTGACAGTGAGCCCTCCTCTGGCATGGACACTATTTGCCCTGCTATTGAATCACTAAATGTGATGTCCAGTGTTTGTCACTCAGCCGTGTCCAACTCTTGTGACCCAGTGGACTGTAGCCCGCAAGGCTCCTCTGTCCATGGTATTTCCCAGGCAAGAATACTGGAGTGGGTTGCCATTTCCTTCTCCAGGGAATCTTCATTGCAGTTGGACTCTTTACTGTCTGACAGCCAGGGAATCCCATTAAATCAGTATTGTGAAGTATTCCAACACCTCCCAGAATCATCCATCATGGAGCATAGTCTCTCATCCCAAATTCCCCTCCACAGCACAGTTTATCAGAATTTTCTATGTTCTGGGTCACCAGATTCTTCCATCCTCTTTACTCTTAACCTACTCCAAACAGGATTAACACTCCATGGAAACTATTTAGGTTGGCCAAAAAGTTTCTTTGACATCTTTCCAAAAAGCTTGAATGAAGCTTTTGGCCAACCCAGTACTTGGCATGATCATGTGTTCTTAGATCCAAATTCCCTTGCAATCTTACTCTGGGTAACCTTTGGCTTGGTTGTCCAAGGAAAAGCGCCTTTGCTTCCATGAAGCTACATCCTCTTCTTTTTCCTCCAACCTCACTGGCCATTTCTCTGCCTCCTCTTCTGGCTCCCTCTCTTTTGTCCCATCTTCAGATGTTGGGAGTGTCTCAGGGTTCTCTGTTCTATGTCCTCACCCCACCAAATTAACTCATCCATTTCCATGACTTAGTACACTATATGCCAAGAGAATCTTTTGAAACTTGTATCTCTTTATAATCTCTTCTCATATCATATGAGGGTTGGTCTATGTGAGATGAACAATGGAAGAATTGATGGTATGTTGCTTCCAAGACAAAGTCATTGTATAATTTCTGCCTATTGCTGTTTCTTGGATCGCTTACTTCAGGGGAAGCTGGCTACCGTGTTCTCAGGCAGCCTAGAGAAGTGGCACAGGTTGAGAAATGGAAGCCTCCTGCCAACAGCTGTGTGGGTGAACCATTCTCCAACCCTCATTAAGCTTTCAGTTGACTTCCATTCCAGCTGACATCTTGACCACAACTTTATGAGACCCCAAACCAGCATTACCCAGCTAAGCCACTCCCAATTTCCTGACCAACAGAAACCATGAGATAATAAATGTTTGTTGTTGTAGGCTGCTAGATTTGTGGGTTTCTTGTTATGCAGCAGTAGAACACTTATACAATCCCCAAGTTCATATCTCCAGCGTTTTCCACTCCACAGATCTCCAAATTCATGCACTGAAGTACTACCTCCATGATCAGTTTCCCTGGTGGTTCAGTGGTAAAGAACCCGCCTGCCAATGCAGGAAACTTGGGTTCAATCCCTGGGTCATGAAGATCCCCTGAAGAAGGGAATGGCAACCCCCTCCAGGGGACACATTTGCCACATTTGCCTGGCAAATCCCATGGACAGAAGCCTGGCGGGCTGTAGTTCATGGGATCTCAAAACAATGAGACATGACTTGGCGACCAAACAACAATGACTACCTGGTATCAACCCTGAAATATCAAAAGCACCTCATTATTAATATGGACAAATCAAAACTCTTGATTCAGAGAACTTTACGACCACCAGCTTCTACTCCGGAAGAAATCTACGCCTCAAGAGCCACTCAGCTTCTTGGGCCAGAAACCTAGGAGTCATTCTTGATTCCTTCCTTCCCTTCACCCTCTGCAAGCCAACCATCAGCTCTACTTCCAAAACTGATCTTGACTATGTTTGCTCCTTTCCACCTCTATTGCTGCTCTGCTGATCCAGACCACAGGCATCTCTCACTTGGACTGTTGCTTCTTAATTGATTTCCCTTCCTCCATGCTTGCCCATCCCTCAGAGCAAGCAGAATGAAGGGTCTTTATAAAAATTACACCTTGTTATCTGGTTAAAATCCTCCAGTGACTTCCCAGTACACCTTGTAGTAAAATTCAGACTTCTTACCATGGCCCTCAAGAACCTGTGTGTCCCAGCCCTGCCACCTCTCACTCTTATTCACCATTTTCCAAACATATGAGTCATTTTCCTGTTCCTCACATGCTTCAAGCCCATTCCTGCTTTGTGGACTTTGCATGCAATGTTCTCATAGTTTCTTCTCTGTGATCCAGGTCTTGGCTTAAATGTTACCTCCTCATTGAGTTCTCCTATACTTACTTTAAACTTGAATTATAATAGTTAACCATGGTAATCTTTAGTGTTTTTCACCAAGCGTTTTTCTGGTGTTGCGCTTTTCTAAACACTTGGTCCATGCCCCTTGGAAGTTAGGTGTGACCATATGACTATTTTTGCCAAATGAGCTTGATTGACTGATTGACTGATTCTTTTTTTTTTTTTTTTTTTTTGCTGTGGCATGTAGGATCTTAGTTTCCAAACCAAGAAGCAAACCTGTGCCCTCTGCAGTGAAAGCATGGAGTCTGAACCACTAGGCTGCCAGGGAATTCCACCTGAGGAGATTTAGATAACAGAAAATTTAAGAGCCAGTGCCTAACCTGCCACATCCCTTATTCCTGCCTTATGATCTTGGAAGCATGTGTACAAATGGAACTTCCATTGGCCTAAATTCCTGAGTGACTTAGGGTGATAAATGCCTCTCTTCTAACCTCTGATGGATGTGTGGCATGAGTGAGATATAAACCTTTATTGTTTCTACCACAATGCATTACCTTATTCATCCTCATAACACCCTCTTAAGAAAGGCAGTGTCAACAGATCACCAGCCCAGGTTGGATGCATGAGACAAGTGCTCGGGGCTGGTGCACTGGGAAGACTCAGAGGGATGGGGTGGATAGGGAGGTGGGAGGGGGGATTGGGATGGGGAATACATGTAAATCCATGGCTGATTCATGTTGATGTATGGCAAAAACCGCTACAATATTGTGAAGTAATTAGCCTCCAACTAATAAAAATAAATGGAAAAAAAAAAAAGGCAATGTCAAGTATAATGACCACAGTTTTACAGACGGGAACACAAAGACAAATGGAAGTAGTGACTTGCCAAGATCAGAGAAAAACCTGTAGCAAAATTAAGGAGTAGAACTTACGTTTTTATAAATTCAAAAATTTTTTCCAGTTCTTCTCAATGATATGCCTCAAATTTAACTTTGGCATTACTTTACCTATAAATTAGCATATTTAGAATCATGCTAATGATTATAATCTCATTTTATTTGAGAAATGTGCACTATAAACCTGGCAATTTCTAATTGAATAAATATATAAAATGGCAAAAAAAAATACACGCTTATTACTATTTCAAACAACTGAGATTGTTGTTAGTTATTCCAACATAACTAGCCTGACTATCATGCCAGGTACTTACCTGGGTGTTTTACATGAATTAACTCATTCACTTCTCCAACAACTGTAATTATTCTTTTTTTTTTTTTGTAATTATTCTTATGTTAGAATTAGAGTGACTGAGGCACAGAAAAGTTAAGTAAGGAACAGAGGTAGAATCTGAATCTGGTAAGAGGTTTATGCTCTTAGTCACTCTGCTATACTACCTCTCAAAGACATTCAAACTCATGTTCAAACAAGGAATTGCACAGTCATGGGTTTCATTACACATTCATACACATATAGAGAAGAGGGAACTGCCAGTTTTCATCCTTGGAGTGTGTGTGTATTTTAGGAATACAGGGATGTCACTAGAAATATCAATTACTATTTAAATATAGTGTCAGTACCAGGATGACAATGATCAAGTATAACAACCAATTAAAATAACAAATATTTTAAAGTTAAAGATTATTTTTACAAGATCTAAAGACAAGTCTGAGTGTCTGAAAAGACCCCTTCCTCACCTTGTAGAAATAATTGCAAGGACTTTTTCCCCCAATTGTCTAAAACAAATTCTCTTGAGGTGTAGTGTACAAATGATGAAGTACACACTTATTCTAAGTGTACAGTTTGATAAGGCTTGACAAATGTGTATACCTGAATACCTGCCAGCACCATCAAAATACAAAACTTTTGGACATCCTTGGCTTTTTCACTGCAGGGGGCACAGTTTTGATCCCTGGTCTGGAAACTAAGATCCAGCAAGCCATGTGGTGCAACCAAAGAAAAAAGAACTTTTCCACCACTCTGCCTATCTGTCTATCTTGCCTCCACCCCTGGCCTCAGGCAACCATTGATCAGCACTGTGTCACCACGGAGTAGATCTGGCTTTTCTAGAATTCCACATAAATAAAATGGTACACTGTGCCTTTTGTGTCTTGTTTCTTTTGTTCAGTACCATGTTTTTGAGATACTCCATGTTATTGCATGTGTCAGTATCTCATCCACAAGAACAGTTTTTAGTAACAGGAGGTAGAATAAGTTTCAACTCTGGGCAGAACTTTCATGTTAGGTAGTTAGAATAGGAAAAGAGTCCAGAAGGGCAGTGGCTAAAAGACAAGGAAGGGAAAAGCCAGCAAAAATTGGGCAAAGGAAGGTCCGAGGACCAGAGTGAGGACCTCAGGTAGAACAAACAGAACTCCAGGCTGGCCCAGTTTACATAGGGCAGGCCCAAGGGGAGGAAAAAAAAAAAAAACATATAAAAAGAGGAGCCAAAGGGCTGGGGGTCTATCTCTCTCCCATGCTCACCCTCACTCACTCTCTCTCTCTCTCTCCTCTTCGTGTGTTTTGCGTGGGCATGCCCTCGTGCCTCAAGGATGTATTTTCTTTTCATTTTCTAAATAAAACTGAGGTGTAAAATGGAGCTGTAACACTGATCTGTCCGAGAGCTGAGAGCTGTAACGTGGTCTGTCTGAGAGCTGAGACACTTTCTGTCCGAGGGCTTTAACATCTGTTGCTTCAAATTTTTGTTGTGACGAGACAGAACTGAGGAAATCACACACTCCCTTGACATCTTTGGTGCCATGGCTCGGATTTAACCTGGCTGAAGCAACCTTGGCGTGGCCCCCCAAGGAGGAGGCCAAGCGCAGCAGGGGCCCAGCTCAGTGAAAGCTCCTACGGTGGTAGCTGCATGCAAAGAAAACCCAGTGCAGGGGAAGTGACAAGCCCAGTGTGCTGGAAACTGGGACAGCTAATAACAAACTCAGCAGAAAGCTCATATAGCTCAGTCTCAGATTCCAGAAGACCTCCAGTTAAGGTAGGAGGTCCTCGCTCCTATGACTGGAGGGACATATGCCTAACAAAATCTGAATTCCTTTACAATCTCTCGTTTCTTGTTTCCTCAAACCCCCCGTGAACAGGCGAGCGGCAGTAGGCACAATTGTGGGACTCTAGTGTCCGAAAGACACTATCTGCGGAGCCCCAGTAGCTGTTACCCAAGCCGGTGGGGATTCTTCTGTCCTTAATCTTATTTGTGCCAAGGATCAAGCCAATGAAAGCTGTGAGCACAGGTCAGGTATTTAGCAGATTTTCTGACAGGCTATGAAGGGGATACATCAAAGGTAAGAAAAACCCCAGTAAGATGGTAGGCACTGAGAGAGGGCATCAGAGGGTGGACAGATAAAAACCACAATCACAGAAAACTAACCAATCTAATCACTGGTCTAACTCAGTGAAACTAAGCCATGCTGTGTAGGGCCACCCAAGACGGATGGGTCA